CATTTCTCATCTCTGCTTCATTCTTCCATCTTCCCAACTCAGACTCGGACTCTGCCCAACAAAAGCTTCTCTTGCTCTCTGCTCTCTCAAGCTCTTTGGCCCTGCTAGCGGTGCCGGCACAGATGCGGAGAAGGCATCTATCGGACCGAAGAGGCCATTCCTTCTTCTGCAAGGCTGAGAGCCAGAGACAACGTTGCATAAAGGGGGCGCTGCACAGAAAGGGGGGCCGGCAACGCACATTGTTGCACCAACCAGCAGCCGCTGAGCTGGCCTACTTTTGGAATATGCATGGCGATCCAATGCTGCTTGCTGCAGCGTTTTCTATTTTCTGAATTTTTTTTTCCTCTTCCTCTTCCTCTTCAGTGAGTGGATTTCAATTCAATTATACAGATGCAGATGCAGATGCAGATGGCGGGTACTGTAGCACGGGTTGTAGCGATGCCACCTCGACACACTGTAATGCGTGCGTAATGCGTAATGCCCTCCCCCCAGGATTCTCACTCTCCGTCAGCCTTTGTTTCCTTCCTTGTAATGTTTTGTATCTGTAAGCATTCCTACTCTTCTTTTTGTTTATTCCCATTTGCGTGCCAACTCAACATCACATCATCACGTGATGCAATTGACTCTGCCTCGGCTCTTCAACCTTCAGCCCAAAGCATCACCAAACTCTCAAGCCTCAAACTCCATCGTGTCTCACCCGATTCCGACGCCCAACAGACCATCCAAGTCTCCTTGGTCTGTGCTCACAAGTGCGTCATGTCATGCTTCACCGACTTGAACATTCAAGTCCCGTCGCACAACTCACAAAGCACTAACGCCTCACTAGCCAGCTCGTTCTCCCTGCGCTAACAGGAGGACTCGGACCACTCTGTGCTTCATGCCACCCCCAAGGCCCTGATCCAGCGATCCTATTCTTGTTCCTTGTTCCAATTCCCGTTCCTTGGTCCTCTTCCTCGTCTTGCACTGTGGCACTCGTACGACCACTGGACTCGTACGTCTGGCAGCAGCAGCACATGGCAGCGTGGTAGTCATCTCAGGGGGTTGCCCGAGATCTGTGGCATCCCGTTACTCACTGGCACGGCAACACCAGCCCACCGCTTCATCTCCATCTCCATCTTCATCTCCGTCTTCATCTTCATCTTCATCTGCGGCCGCTGTTGTTCATCATCGACGAGGTTAAATCTTCTCCCATGCACGCACTTACACGTCCAGGTCCAGGCATACAACGGCTGAAGGGCTTCATCTCGCTTATGTAGGTATTCGAAGGAATCTCATCTCAGATCTTGGCAACGTCCACGAATGATGTTGCTCCATGCCCCCTTGCCAGCGGAATCAAAACACCAACTTCTTCCGTACTCTGTATTCAAATGCCCATCCTAGTATATACAACACCTTCATGTTAGTGGTACGGAGGCATCAGATTCCAATAGCGCCAACAACCACTCAACTGCCATTGCTGTCAAACATGAACTGCGCCCGTAGCCCCCAACAGTCATCTCACTTGTCCATCCCCTTTTTCCCAAGACAAGACATACATTCTCAAATTCATGCAGTCATGCCAAACCAAAAAACCGCAATAATTCCCTCCGGCACCTACGATTCCTACACGGCTTCCCGCATCGGCACTCGCAGGGTCTGACCTGGCCTGCGCTAGCTTCCACGGAGTATTACTCTCACCTCCCTGCCCATTAGTATGCTCATCTTTTCTGTTGCTCGATTTAGGAGAGCAGATTTAGAGCCCCCCGGCAGACGAGGTAGACGATGGGCTTGCCTGTTTTGAACAGCGACAACAAGTGCTTACTGGCGCCGCATCGCCGGACAGGGCCATCTCGCTGATCCCTTGGGGGCCTGCAAATAGCATCACGAGATGGGCGGCAGGGACTAGCGGATCAAGGGAACGTTTCAGATGCCGACATCGCCCTCTTTCTCTCTGTCTCTCCATCTATCTCGTCGTCAAGATTAAGCCACGCTGCTCGTACTCGTAAGCCAGACTTCGCTTTCCTATTAATATCTATACTCGTACTTTATTTCTTCGCCCCCTGGCCTGTAGAATTCGATAGCATATCTCAAGTCTAGGATGGGCGACATGTCTAAGAAATCTCGGGTACGAGACTAGGCCAGACACGACGATCCACTGCGCAACAGACACGTAGAGGCCATGATCCATAGTATCCATGCATCAGATCTCTCGTTTACCGCCTTAAAAAAAGAGTGAGAAAAAAAAGAGCACATGTTGAAAAGGGAGATCTGATTCCAAAGCAAATGCCAAGATACTTGTAATGTGTACGACACGCCCGTAGGTTATCCGATGACCCTTTCGGAATCGATTCCAGCGTCAGTCTCCTCCAGCCTGGTCAAAGCGTGCATACATGTATGTTTTTTCTTGTTGTTGGCTCCAGCAACAACGCAGGAACCTCATTCTCGGAACGGATCCCCGATAGTCTCGGGCCAACGTCCGGGGTAAGTGGGTCGAGCCCGTGCCGGAACTTGGAAATGGACTTCATGGCTTGCCGTGACAAAGACATTGAGGACCACGCCGTCTTCTTCTTTCCATTTTGTCGCCTTCGTATGTCTCATCTTCCCATCCAGTGTCCGTCGATAATACCACATGTAAAGTCTTCTTACAATCTGGATATTGTTGAGACTATGTCCACTGAAGATGAAGCTGCGCATGTAGATTTTGATAATCAACAGTTTCCAGTATATCCACACCAACAGAATAAAGTTTTCACAGAATTTAAGCTATACGTAGTATAATCTATTCATCGTGTAACTCCTAGTCACGCATATTTTCCCATAACCACCATTCTTATACGACCTTCTAGGGTAGGACTTCTCATGTCATTATATCAGTCCAACCCCGTTTGTTTCTTAGATGTCCTGGTATCCTAATGATCTTGGCCTTTCTATGATCGAACTATTCATTCCATGTTCAGAACCTGTTTCAATTGCTTTGCATATGATTTATAGAGCACCATTGCTATTAACACTTCAGCAGCTTTGGATATCGAAAGTATTTCATTTGTATGAGTGAAACACAACACACCTATTTCATCTTCCTTCGTATAACCCAAGTGAAACCGATTGGCCGTAAGTCACTTCCTGGCTACTCTGCTATCCAGCATTCACGTGTCATCCTCCGAGGTTTTACTTATAGCCGATACTCGGATCAGTGCGCTGTGGCAACTAGCTCAACGAGAGGCTGTTCTCACCTCTTGGATCAAAAACCAGAATGGAATCCGAGATTGGATTCGATCGGCAGCAGCTGATCAATTTATTTGCGTTACTTACCACCGGAGTACAAACACTTCAGCTCTGAGACAAAGGCCGCTTTGCTCGTATGGACGTTCCACAAGCTTATTCCGGCTTGCTCAACCGAAGCATGTCCTTGATAGGAGCAAACAACCGAGATATCTTGTGTGCCAACTATCTATCTTTCTTGCAAACATTCAGTGTCACTATTCCGGGGAACTTTTGTCAGGCTCTTTCCCTTGAGTGTTACGTTTTGAGAGAACATTCGAATTCGCTTATGATGGACGCAATGTTCCAGGGGTGGCGATGCAGTGAAATCACCATTGTCTGGAATACAGTGCTATTTCGCGTCGGGGTCCCTATATGGAACGACTTTGAGACATGTTGAAGTCTAGCTTGAGATGTAGCGCGTATTCGGCGGTTTAGGCTGCAAAAGATGGGTATGAGGCTGAATCAATTAGGGGGCTGGCGAAGAGATGTTGTGGATGTGACAGTCTGGCGTGTGAATGGTTCATAAAAGACACCCGTCGTGCTTCATATCCGTCAAGATGACCTGTGTGTCAACTGGTTATATTCGATGTAAACTGTTTGTGCCACATCATATACTAGCAATTCAGGATCAGAAAGGCTCACATGACGACTTCTTGTGAATGAGAGATAGGAATCATGCAGCGTCACACAGTCTCAGCATCACAAACTCACAGCCCCATGATCATCTTCCAATCTGTGAAAATCCCATGACTCACTGCCATCGTCAATTGCGTGGTAGAGACAGTGAGTGATGTGTTGAGTTCGGCCAGTTATATCGCTGACTGAAGCAAATCACTTTGAGATCAAGATGTGGTGATACTTGAAAACTTTTGCAAGCTGCACTGACAATCGTAGATTTTTGGCCATGATCACTTGTAGCTTACATGTATGGCTATGTAATATGTAAATCTAGAGTGACCATCACGGCGAGGTACTATGGAGTGGTAATATAAGCTCATATGCCGAGAGTAGGAATGATACTCCCAGAGTTCAAAATACTATACATTCCAACTAAAGAAAAGAAGAAATAACATTTACAATACATTGATATAAGAACCAAAAGCATTAATAAATGCCAATACAATGTACTGCCATCACCTTATCCGTCAGAAACATCACGCATACCCATCCCATCACAAACCCAAACCTCATCACAGCATCACAACATCCCATGTCGCAAACCACTCCTCACACGACCAAAAAAACATCCATTCATCACATCAATCTGCGCAACCTGTATTCCCAAAATGAACTTCTTGCCCCCTCCACTGCCACAATCATCGGTAAAAGCAAATCCAGCCCGTCAATCCAACAACTTGTGTGAAAACTTCATGTATAAACAGCATCACACAAACTGCACCGTGACATGGGTACAGCCGATATCACGCGAAATACGCAAGCAAAAAACGAAAGAAAGACAGGAAAAGTCAAAAAAAAAAAAAAAAAAGAGAAAACAAGGTATGCTTGCGGCAGTGATGCTGTGACGCCTTGTGGACTACTTGAAGCTGAGCATGCCAGCATGCGAATGAAGTTGGATCTGATCGCCAAAGCCTCCATGTGTACCCTCGTACTATTTCAAATATTCTCCATTCATATTTTCATCATCGGATATTAGTCCACGGTAATGTGCAGGATGGAGACGATTACTACAAGAATCCTTCTCGGGCTTGTCCTGATGTGCTTCGCCAACGCCCTCAGCGACTCGGTGGTGGAAAGGTATGAACTCCTACGACGAGATATCCAGTAGCCAAAAGTGGCGACAGTACTCTCACCACCACAAGCAGAACCAGAGAAACCACGCTCTCATCACGGCTAACCATCACCTTAGATCAAGCCTAACATGGCGAGGTTCCGCCGTCCTCTCCTTCGACGCAGACTACGAGACTCCCACTCCCTCCCCAGACGAATATTCCTCCCCAGACCCGTATTCGTTCGAAGACACGTGGTATTCACCCCCCAGCACCATCGAACCAACGACGACGCCCCGTCCCCAGTATTCCGCCATTGTAACTATTCGAACCACCACATGGGTTCTCTCTCGATCGACGACAATCACCAGCGTCATCCTGGAAACGTATTACTCGACTCTGACCGACGTCGAAGACTCGAACGAGGGAGGAACGGTGACGATGACGGAGTCGGATCCGTCCGGCTCCGCTCCGTGTGCGGCCGCGTCTGGCAATCCTTCGGGATACGGATACGAATGCTCGTCGTCGACTCGGTCGTCCGTCAGAGCCATGACGACGATAACGTGGTCGCCCGAGGTAACCGCCTATCCTCCACCGTCAGTCTCAGACCAAGCCCGCGCGAGCCCAGCCTCGACATCAACAACTTCGTCATCATCAGCATCGTCATCAACAACAGCAACAGCAACGGCAACAGACGAGGGGACCGAAACTCCACCCGTGGTAACAGGAGCAGCACCTCCTCCTCTCGGAAAAGCAGACACTCGCGCCATGGGTGCTGTAGTCGCGCTGCTCGCCATCCTAGCGTGAACTTCTTCTTCCTACCTACAGCCCAACCCTCCCTCACATCTCCGTCAGAACAGCTTCATATTTTCACTCGTTCGTCCGTTCGTTTCGTTCGCTCGTTCCAATAGCATCAAAAGAGAGAGAGAGAGAGATGGAAAAAAAAAATTCTACGCGAAAGAGTAGGGGTTTGTCTGCCTGCTCTCCCCCACCCACACACCTCGCTCAAGCTTATCTCCCGTTCCCGGTCCAACACAAGTTCTTTTTCCTTTTCTCTCGCTTGTTCAAAAAAGATGGTGGCCTCGGGTAAAAACACAAACCAATAAACTCTCCCCGGCCCCCTCCCTCCCGTCTCGACATCGACAGAAACGAAGTTTCCTCCCATCGTTTACTAGGTCCCGCTCTGGAGAAAACAACAAGAACTAGGGCAAATAATCTCCGGCACGGCCCTTCCCTTGTAAAAAAAAAAAAAAAAAAAAAAAAGAACAAAAGCTGGGGAGGGGGGGGCATCGGGCGTCAAGATCCCGTTCGAACGGCTCTGATGTACTCGTAGGGTGCCAAAGCTCGTGGTTGTATGTGCCAAAACTTGGAGTTTTTTTCTTCTCTCAATTTGTTTTCTTACTTCTACGCCTGTTGTCGAGAAGGGGGGCGTATTGCGGATTATTTTTTTTTTCTTACTGGGGGTAAGTTTTGGAAAAAAGGGTGAGGTTGCAATGCAGTCGTCGGAAAGGGGGGTTGGTGATATGAGGAGGTGCGTGAAAGCAAGGGTTCAAGCCTATCAGTCAGTGACGGGGGATGAAAGCGTCCATCATTTTTGCGACTCTTGTTTCCACTCTTTTTTGCTATTCGTCTAGGGAATTATTAATGTGTAATTGTGTTTCTTACTTGTGGGCTAACAGGTATCGGTACCGTGTATATCGTGCGTACTGTGTTCTACAACTGTATCTACGACCCGAGTACCGGAATGTATCATCTCAATTGTCTGTTAAAAGCGGGCTGCTGCTGTCTGTCTCTCCTCTATCTGCCAGTGGAGTCGTTCAACGGTGTCTGGGGGGACGTGGACATGGACATGGAACCCCTATGCTATGCCAATCTCTCGTCTCCATCATACTCGTACATACACACGTGTTGATATCATCCTCCCTGCAGGCATGGGGGTGTTCATTATGGCACAGGTACGTAGAATCGTACACCATGGAAAAAAAGACACACGAAATGGAGGTCGATATCCACCCCCCATCTTTGGGCACGAATACCTAGCCCCAATATATCTATCTCCTCTGCTCTTTGCGTTGCATGCGGCGGATGCAAAGCCGAGGTGGCAATGCATGTCCGTCTCGTCAAGCAGTTCTCATTGGGATGATTTCCGACCTTGATAGACGCCGAGTAGCTTCTGCAGGTATTGCGAGTACATCTGTTCTACATGGGTTGACGCAAGCCCAGGCAACTGATTCGCTTCCATCACCCTGTCCATGACCGTAGGGAGTCTCTCTAGTTCGGCTTTGGTTTCCGTAAGTTGAACTAAGTGACGAAGCATTACATAGCACCCACAATGAGTAAACAGCAACAGCTTAACCAGTCAATGGCTTCAAATCCCACAAATCTTAGGCTACACCTTCCCCCAGGGGTCGTGCTTCAACGTCGACATCACCATCCCTGGCAAGCCCTTCTCCCCCCCGGAACTCCACGCTTGCCGTTACTAGTATTGATCTCTTACCCCTCTTTAGATATCCGTAAAATCATAAAGATGGTTCAAGGATGAGGTGCCGGAACTAGAGCTTCATGCAGGAAATTAAATCTGTGTGGATTCGGGGAACTCCGGAATCCCTCCCTCTAAGCCCCCCCTAGTCACCTTGGAGGGCGGCAGCCCGTCACATCACCGTACGGGCGCTCGCAAGTTCAAGAGGATCCTGATCTTTTTACTACTTGTAAGCATCAACAGCCACCTATCAAGGCGTAAATTGTCATCTTGAGAAATCATCTCCCCCACCACCACCACCACCACCACCACCACCACATAGATTGCATTTCGCACTCTGTCCATCCAGCATCGCCAAGAGAGACGCAGATAGGACGTGAACCACTCAAAACTCTCTCGGCACCATCCTCGGTAATCGCCTTTTTTGTTGGGAGCGAACCAAACAAAACGCTGTGGGAGTCGCATTTTGTGCGTCATTCCGTCTGCCTTACAACGTAGCATTACATTGCATCCCACCGTACAGCAAGCAGGTCGACAGAAAGAAACATGGCTGCGAGGTAAGAACTGTTCATATATATCCATGTCCTCCAATGTGCCTCGAGGGCAAATCCGATTCGTGGACAGTGGATATGCCAAGTGGCATATATCAGCGCCTACGCTATGGGAAAACCGATCTACGACCCCTTCCAGGATATGCAGATATCGGCTCACAATTCCTTGCAAAAGGCCCGAGACAACGACGAGGGTCGGCCATGCGGGCAGCTGTCATACATACATACATGCCCGACATCTATCTTTCTCGAGATCTCGTTGGCAAATGCAAACTCGTCTATGCAATTTCCCTCCCTTCTCCCACGGAGACGGGACAATCCGATGACTCGTGCCCTATACTCGTACATGCCCTTGGGCTCCTCTCCCTCCCCCCTGAAAATGTAGCAAAGCGGGCACTTTCGGGCTCAAGTGGTGGCCCACGAGTCCATGACATGGACAACAACGTGGCAATCGTCTGCTGACTGCCGCTCCGGCCAACTACCAGTCATATACGATTCCAAGCCCTCGTTGAGCCCAATAGAAATCAAGGAGCAAAGTGATTCGACTGGGCCATCTGCCAGGTGAGATTGCCATGGCAAAAGCGGGCAGAAACCACGTCACCCGCCAGAAGTCCAACCCTTTTTCTTCTTCTCTCTCTCCCTGGTGATGGGAGGCGTCTAGGCATGTGATATTTGACAAGAGGCGTGCCACCTTCATCTAAATCTGCAAATCCTTCCTGCAAGGAATTCTGTTTAGGGAAGCTACATGGCTCATTGTGCGGTCTCGAAATCTGGACTGAGTCTATGATGCGCGAAATGCAGGAATGAAAGAAATCAAAGAGGGGGGGCTGAACCGGTTGGGTTGGATTACCAAACATGTGTTTTTGAATCACCGGAAGAAATGGGGACAACATGCCCCGGGAGAGCTCCCTATTCGAAAGTGTTGCTCGCCTTAACCGCCGCAATCCCAGGCTAAAGCCTCGTTGGCGGCAGTTGTGGTTAGTAACTAGATACGAGCAACGGCGCGAAATCAAGTCAAAGCATAGAGCGCTGTGTGGGCCCAGGGAGGAGGGACCCCTTTCCACCTGGCTGTGAGACTTGTCTCACTTTGTGGCGCGACATTCCTCAATGTCTAGCTCAGTAGAACACCGGGGAAAAGATGGCCGACATGTGGTGGTTGAGTCAGGAGCAGACACGTTCGGTTTTAAGCTTTGTGGGAGAAAAGGTTGCAGTAAATGTAGCAGGTGAATCAAGTATATGAAATTCAACTAGTGAAGAAGAAACAGTTGGAATAGTCTCATCTCGTCCCCGCCCCTCCCCCCTAAAAACGTATCGAGGTCCTCCATGCAATTCACGGGGCTCGTGCAATGAAGTGTTGTTCGTCATCAGAGGCGTCGCTATCCTCAATCACGAATGCGGCCGAGCCTGCCGAATATTTTGGCACTTTGTAGTCCGGCATGGGAATCAAAGGATAGAGCTTGGTCCGGACGCCATTGTCACCGTAAGCAGCAAACCAAGGTGGCAACATGGAACCGGGGACCGCCCAGCCTAGCTTCGAGTTTCGAAGCCAAAGCCTTACCATGTGGCGGGACGTATCGTCACCGTCCGTGTACGAATCGCGTCGGTGGAGCAATGCCCAGTTGTTGAAAAATAGCAAGTCTCCCGTCTTTAGGTCAAGTCGGAGCTCCGTGCGGTACGCGGCCTTTGATATTCTTTCTAGAGCAGACTGCTGTGAGGCGGTTAGAGCTGGGATATTGGTTGGTCCGCTGGATGGATGAGGCCCAAATCGATTCGGATCTATGCTAGCCATCAACCTGCCATCGTGAATTGCGAGGGCGGGCGCTAAGTAGCATTTTGCTCCACGCCCCGAACTGCGTCACACCAGTTTTCAGCCAACGCCCAACGTCAAGTAGTAGGGGGGGTAAAAACAGCAGTGCTCTTACATTTGCACAGGCCAATCTGCAGTCAAGAGAGCTTTTGCAGCTGATGGGGCTTCAGCAAGCAGTTCATTGAATGCAGTGCTGACGGAACTGAGATACGTGTATCCCCCCTTTTCCGCGCCGTGCCGAACTTGGAGCGCTAGGATATCGCACCCCATATCATTGTGATAGGGCTGTTTGAATTAGCAGCAGTCAATAGGCTTGGGCGACAAGAAATAGATATTTACCAAAGCTTGAGTAGAGTGAATGCCATGGCGCATCTCCACAGGAACTTTCCAAAGTTTTGAGTTGGTGATATGGGCTGTTTTGATATAGATGAGAGGTCATGTCCGGTCAAGTCACGGGAGAAAGATGTAGCTTACAGAGAACGTTACCCTTGCGGTCCTGCAGTCCCCTCTTGTCGGCGATATAGCTGGATATGCCTAGATATATGGTGGTGCTGTCTTCAACTGAGTATTTTGACTCTCCGAGACCCCTGAGAACGAAGAAGCCGCGCTGCTCATGAATAACTCTGGCAGATTGGGAAAGCCGCGCCGCAAGATTCGGAAGGGGAAAGTTGTCACTGTCAACCTGGTCTCCATCGAGGCCAAGAGCTGTAGTCCAAGTCAGCTGGCTTCGTGTATTACTCTGAGCAAAAGCTTATTCAATAGAGTCTCTTACACTTGAAGCTTTGGAGGGCAGCATCGATTTCTTCGACGTCCTCTCCGCGAAGCTGCCAGGTGTACGTTTCTTCATCCTCGAAATCAGCCCCTGACCAGGCCAAGGGGCCATTGATGGCTGTTGGAAGTTTTGCCATCATGTCCTTGGGTATAGCAGTGGCTGCGTCAAGGATATTCATGGGACCAGTCGTGCTTGGGGGAATCATTCTTTCTTGTTGAGGATGCTGCAGGCTTTTGCAAACCCAACACCAGCCCCGTGGCTCCGGGCTGTCTTATATGCAAAAAAAGGATAATGGAAAGGTACGAGAGTGGTACGAGGTTGAAAACGGGCCAGACAGTGAGCTCGAGGTTCGCCACCAGATGCAGAGAGACGTCGGACAGCGTATCGGCGCCAGGACAATGCGATGCTTTGATGTTTCCGAGAAAGTGGAGGTGTGCTGTGGGCCGCCAGTCTCCGTAATGTATCTCGTCGTTTGTGCGCCATGGCGGATGATCTGTTCGCGCACGACACGACGCACGTCGCTTATCAGACTTGAAGAGAGCGTATAGGAGTCAACCATGTAGACACAGAGTGCCTAAGGGGGCTGCACGAAGCAAGTACATTCTGCTTGCTGAGCTGGTGGTGAAAATCCGGTGACGAGACCCCGTAGTCGCACTGTTCGGCCAAAGGGGGAACTTTGGAACTGCAAGAATGCCCTTCGGGACACGTCTGCAGCGGCCCATGGACGGTGGCAGGCAGCGGGAATAGGCCCAGAGGGGGCTATTGGCGGTTCGTTTGAGAGAAGCAGAAAGAGGAGCCGCTGGGTCGTCGCACCACGTTTGAGGTGGGAGAGAGAGCCTCTCAAACCACACCAAGTTCCCGCGATAGCAACCCAATTACGACACGCCTCTGGACGTCCGACCAGCCCAGAGTGGGTAAAGGCTCAACGGACATTATACAACACATATGGCCGTAGTTCCTTTGCTTTGGGCATGACGACGGACCAAGGATACTCCGCAACAGACCAAAGGACGGGCGAAAAGAGAGCGATCTGATTGGGTAAGGTGAACCAGAACAATCTGAGTTTTGCCTCACTAGCAAACAATGCCTTGTTTTTTTTTTTGCCTTTGGCCGGGCGGCATTCAAAGGGTAGTTTCGCAGAGAAGGGAGGAGAGAGAATCATATGAGCCCCATATCAAAAGGGAACTAAGTTTCCTCCGGGCTGTGATCGAGCTCCAGGCTGCCGGCACTAATATAAGACGTAAGCTATTGTGACAATGCAAAGAAGTAAAAAAAAAAAAAAAAGTCTTTGAGCGTGACTCGCTTAGCCTCAGCCCTCACTACCCTCCTCGATGAGCTGGGCTAATGAACGGGGGGAGAAATGCAGAGCAAACAAAGAATCGAGCCATACTGAATCGGTTTGAGCAGTGGAGCTGTCCGATCAACCCCGTCCGCGCCTGGCCAGTGATGGGGATGAGAAGGACTTCCTCACATCCCGGACTATCCATCCACGCGCGCAGTCGAGCTAGCACTGGTGCTGGTGAGTTTGATGGTACAAGTACTGAGAGTGTGAGAGAAGGGGGGCCATACTGAAAGCGTCACGGTTGTGATGCGGAGCCAGATGATCACACATGAGGCGACACCACACTTCCCATAATAGCAGCACTCGGCACGAGCAACTAACGGGGGTCCCAGCGGTATTGCTGGGACATACCACCACTCCTCTCTCTCTCTCTGGTGTCGTGCCTCTTTGTGTTTTGGTCGTCGTATCGAGCAAGTTGGGATTGGAAAGCTCATCTTGGTCGGGTGAAGTGCCGCAATTCTAGACTTGAACTGGGAGTCCCTGTCCCCTGTATGTCAACGAGCCGTTTGCTGATATCCTTGTCACGCACACGGCGGATATCCATACACAGCCCACAAAAATAGACACTCTCGCCCCATCACCATCCCTTCTCCCCAAGGCAATACAGGCAGGAGCACTCTGTAGATGCGCTGTTGACGTGGTTTACACACATATATGAGGGCCCATGTGAAATTTGCAGTGTCAAAGGGTGCGAGAGGAGACAGTTTTTCAATGAGACAATGGGCTGATTTGTTCAGACGCCAACAACTCGCATATGCTGTGGCTCACGACACAGCTGTAATAGTAGTAGTAGGAGATGAAAGTAGACATCTTGGGCGAGGAAATGGGAGACCATCTCGTTGGCTTTGTTCCCTTTTCTCTCTCTCTCTCTCTCTCTCGCTGTTGTGTTCTAAGTCATGTTGCTGAACAGAGCTGCGACAGCTACGTAGGACGGCATTTGTAGCACGTGCAATGAAGCATGTTGGTAGAGAGAGTCGGCTTGCTAGTAGCAGCATGTCATGCTTCATCGGGGTATCATAGATGACAGCCGCGAGTGGCATACATGGCCGTACAGGTACAGTACAGGGGAAGGGGAGCTGAAGGCGACAGTTGAAAAAAATAATATCCGACAAGTCGTTCTAGCTTTCAGCTTGCAATACCCCAACTCGTAGCGGGCGTAGCGCAAAGTACAAATGATACGAGTCCACAGTCGTGTGTATCTTGGTTCCCTCCCCCCTGCCGGCGCCAGCCACTCAGAGCTGCATGAGGTGACAAGGACGGGGCTCTGAACGTCAACCGGTGAGGCCTGTCAAGTCGAGCATTAGCAAGGCTCTGGTTTCGGGCGGGAACGCTGCGGGCTGTGATTGGATCTGGGGACGTGACGGGAGAGCGAGTGGATAACAAGAGTTGAGCTTGCAGCCACCATTGGGGGACGAGCGGCCAGGCCAAGGTGTTTTCCGCATGATGGCTCCATCAAGACCGTCTGGAACAGCTAGCCGGGGTAGTGGCCCAGGTGGGCTTCATCACTCTATCACATTCGAGTTCTGATGACGGGTGGAAAAGAGACGCATGGGGGGGGGGGGGGGGGGCGAGGCTTGTCTTGTGCTGCGTTTTCCAAGGCTTTCGGTGAGGACGAAGAGCCCTGTAGAGGAGGGCGCACGCAGGAGGAACGACGGATGGCTCATGGATGGATGGACAGACAGACAGAGATAGAGAGAGCCGCGTTTGTCAGTCTGTGTAGCGAGCGAGAGGGGAGAAGCGAGTAGCGAGAACAGGGGGGAGAGAGCAGAGAGGAGGGGCACACACACACACTTGGTGGTTTTAGATGAGATCGAAGCACGATGATGATGATGCCGTCGTCGTACAAGTACTGCACTCGTCCGAGAAGAGAAGACGAAGTTAGATTAAAACCGGCAGAGACAGGTGAAGCTATTCCGGATTCTGAATCTGGATTGTGAGTGATTGTCTGATTATCTGATATGGGCTCCTGCCCTCGATGCTGCTCTGGGCCGGGCCGGCATTCGTTCCGATATGCTGCCCGCCAAGTGCCTGCGTGCATGTCACGGCCTTGTTTGTGCACAACCTTGTCCAGCCCTTGTCAACCGTCCAGCCCGCCAAAGAGCACCAGAATGGGGAACCCCCCAGCCAGCAAGCCGAAAGGAACTGCAACCGCAGCCGGCCTTGCAGCCTCAGTCGGGCCCCCTTGCGTCTGAGGCCTTTTTGGATCGGCAGCGGACCGGCGGTTTGTGGGCACAGCGATCCTGGCAGACTGGCTGGCCGCTCCTCCAAGGCTCCAACAGGCAGCGCTGCTGCTCCAGAGACGCTTCAGCTCGGCCGACTAGCTCAGCAGCGACCACGGACGGGTTTGCATGTACATACGCGGTACTGTACGGATACAGCGCCTCGTGCTAGGTCGAGACTATCGCTGCAACAAGGTGCGTGCCGCAGCGTCTCTGGCGCCTCGTCTCGTCTCGTCTCGTCTCTCTGATGCCGCCGCCTGCGTCCCGATACTCTGGGCTCCCGGCCGTCGCCGCCATCGACGCTCATCATCGTACTCTCTTGTACAAGTACGGCGGGCCCCCTGCGGCTGGTCATCCCGGCTTCCCACCTTTCTGCTCCTCTTGCTCGGGCTCGACTTGACTGAGAGGGCTGGACAGGACTGGACAGGACTGGGCTGGGCGAGACTTGACTGGACTGGACTTGACTGGTTCTCTTCCCTTGCGCGCCTCGATTCTGCCTGTGCTTGCAGGCTCCTTCGTCACTGTCACTCTCACCCCCGTGCCCGCTCTTTCGCTTCTGCTGCCCCTTCGGAGACGCTCCTGGGGGCTCTTGATCCAGTGGAAACCCTCGTCTCCCCCATCGTCCAGCGTGTCTTTGGCTGCTTCTCGAGCCTTGACGTGTGCGACACACCCTCCTGCGTTACAGCGTTGCATGTACGAGTACGTCCGCCATGGAGACGGCCGTTGTGAGCTTACGCTCTCCTGATGTTTCCGCACGGGTAAGTGACGTCTTGTTCCCCTCTCCGGTCCTACGGGCCACGGGTGGCACACACGATGCGAGCATATCTTATGGGGCCGGCTGGTGGGTTGCCAAATGCATCGAGTTGCTGAGTCGTTGCGTGCCGTTGCTTGTCTCGGAGTCACCCTCGCTCTTTTCGTCTTGTCAAACCCTCGCGCACACCCTACCAACACCCCCGGCTGTGCGAGTATGTATCATAGGTTGACTCGTACTCGTACGCAGCCTCTGCGTACTTGTACGATACATCTGTCCCGTCTGTACGCGGCGAATAAGATGGACGGCGTCCTCGTCTCATCTTAATACCGCCGCAGATGCCCGGCCCCCCCCCTCTTCCTGCCGCCGCCGGGGTTGGGTGCTCAACCGGACAAGACCATGTTACCGGACACAGAGACTGCCTCATTAGAAGTTGATTTTTGACCGGTTTCCTCACAGGCCCTATCCAGAGCAAAGCGAAAGTGGGCAGGCGACGGCGACGCGGCCTCCAATGGCACGACCTCAGCTGTCCGGCCCCGAACCCGTGGCAGAGTCAATGGGCCCAGAAGAGGCGTTCAGCGGGCAGGTCCAGGTCCATCTCTCACCGATGCGGAATATGCGTATGCGCCATCGTCAACAGGCTCTGCCCGTGCAGCCACCAAGACACAACCCCCGATGGTGGCGGACCTACCAAGCCCTGGGCGAGTACTGGTACATGATGTGCCCGGAGCCATCCCGCAACCTCAACCCCAGGCCTATCCAGATCCTCAGCTGCATACAGGCAGTCTGTCAGGCCACTCCTCCGTCGCCAGAGATTGCTATGCCGGCACCATCTCTCGCCAGGACAACGATGCCATGTCGATCGCTTATACCACTGAACCTTCGGCATACAGCCACTACTCCACCACGTCTGCGACTTCCAGCCCACATTTTCAGCAAAACTATTGGCTTGTCCAAGGCCAGCATGGCGATGCCCTCGGCCAGTCTCATGTTCGTCAAGTACCATCGAGTTTGCCTCCCCAGTCTGTGTCACTGCCATCGACTCAAGCCAATGGCGCAGTGTATCGGGGGCACCTAGTCTCACCGCAGCAGCCGGGCCAGTCAAGCCAAGATATCGGTACCAACCTCACAGCGCCCTTTCCGCCTGGCCATTCATTCCCGCCAACAGGCTTTCTGAATCATTCTCTTGTTGTCCACTATAATTTCCAGTATCAACCAGTTTCGGTTCCTCCACCTCTTCCTCCACCTCCTCCTCATCACTTTCAACAGTGCGGACCACACCAAGCAACTGGGCAACTTCCCATCCAGACGTCACAAGGATATCCTTACCACGGCCCGCAATATAATACGCCGCACGTCTCGGCGGATGCCAGACAACTTGGCCCTCCCCTTTCGACGCCTGTGCAGTCAGTGGGCGAAGGATCCCAATTGCCCGAGAGCCATCATCAACAGGCGCCCGTAAATTCTTACCTGTTACAGCGGCCCATCCGTCAATTCTCCATTCTTCCTACAATGGACAGCACCATGTACACTGGGCCTGAGGCCGAGGCAAGCGAAGTCGTTCACGTCCATGATGACGTCTCGTACGAGCATCGCCCGCATATGACCCAAGGCGCTGAGTGGCAAAACCCGGGGGTTTATATGGCTGGCGAGGCTCATGAACCTGACGAATTTGGTGACGGCACCTCTGATGCTTCGGGAATTTCTGATACCATGGATATCCACTGCGATGTGCATGAGGACAGCGAAGTACAAGACGACTCGCTGGGAACAGGTGAGAGACCGCAGCAGTTGGCGCCATCTTTATCTATGAAAGAGGAGGATTCTGCATCGTTCTCGGTTCCAAACCGGAAGCGAGGTCAACTGAGCCCTACTCATCGAAAACAAACTGCAGAGACGAGAAAGATTAAGGCGTGTACGCGATGCCGGATGCAAAAGATGCGGGTGAGTCCCAACACAACAATGCTTACGATGTGCTCTAGATGGCTGATGAACTCTGTGGTGCGACAGTGTCAAGTAGACGTCACAGACCCATCGGGAGACTGCGTAGGATGCAAAACCTTTTCAAAGACGTCGAAGAAGACCATCCACCGAATGCCGTGTTATCGCGGAAAGATTACAGATGCCGTCCTGTTCCGTAACGGAGGGCTCGAGCTTACTAAACGCTGGAAAGGCACAGAGATGAAGGACGTGGGAGACCGACCCAACCCCAGAGACATCCGCACCGTCTTCATCACTCTGGGCATATGCAAAGAGGAGGTCCAGATTGAAGTAGTCGCATTCAGGCCGCAGTCCGGGGACGTGACTGCGAGATTCTGGATGGATGGCGAGCAGGGGGTGCGAAAGAAGAAGGACCTGGCGCACTATTGCCTGGCCGACATTCAGAAAACGGCATCGTATTTTGAAGAGTACGTCAAGAGGAACGCAGTCAACGTTGCGTGGAATGAGATGGCAGGTGGAGGTGACCAGCCTGGAGACATTATCGAGGCGACGTACTCTTATGCGGTTCGCCGTTTCCAACTTCTCCGAGTATGCGGCTTTCCATATATACCTTCATACCCAAGGTAGAGCGATCAGAATGCTAACGGAGCGAGGCAGAGAAAACCGTCTCTTCCCGGAAAAGAGGAGCGAGAACTCAATCTCTTGGGCAATTTGTTCATCCTTTGGTTTGCCATGCGTGAGTGACGAAGAAGAAGAAGAAGAAGAAGAAGAAGAAGACTTGTCCATTTCTCCTCCTCCCTTTCCTCCTCCCTGATTCTTTTCCCCTGTCACCCTCTCTTGTCAATGCAACTAACAGGCGGCGTAGGCCACTCGACCGGGTCTTCATGGATCCAGGGCAAGGAATTGTTGGGGATGAAGCCCGAAACAAGGGACGAGACATACCCGCTGTACAAAAGAGTTTCGGTACCACGCATGATTCTTGCGCAGTTTGACAGCATCAACTACAGCCGAGTTCTCACCAAACACGGAAAGTTTGTCCTCAGCGAGCTCGAGGCTCTCATGTCGCGAAACCAGCCAGAATACTTCTTTTTGGTTTATGTCTGCTTGTTTGTACTCTTGCGGGAGGCAAGCTGGACAAGCGCAGATCGCTATCGTCACGCGCGGAACAATCACGGCCAGAGTGTAAGTTAATTACGACATATACCTCACCGCCCCCTATCTGTCTATCCTTGGTAACCATCCGGTATTCTAACTCTTGCAGCTTCGTTATTCCATCCCGCAATTTGTAGAGAGCCTACATGACAGCTGCAACAATCTTCTCCAGCATTGGCACTATTACAATGCCAAGTCGTGGCCCAAGCCCAATGAAAGGGGTGACAGGTTCAATACTCATCTGGCCCACATTGATGCGACAGAATATGACCTCATGATGCAAGCGCTTACCGATCCTGCAGTGCAGAAACAACTGGACATTTGGAGACGTTACAAAGCAGATAATGGCCAAGGTGAGCGCCGATGCCTTTCCAAGTTTACTGGAGTGGACAATACTGACCCAATCGGACTCAGTGAACCAACCTGCTCCAAGCAATGTTGGAGGGAGGCCGTACGAGGGGCGCCAGGTCTTTTACGACTGGGATCACCCCTTCTATTGGGTTTCACAGTTATTTGAGGAGAACTGGCAGCCACATGCCACATACCGGGCGGAACCGGTTGATCCACTGGCCAGGTAATGAAGCATGATGACGAGAGCCAGTATGTACGAGGAGTGCATGCAAAGGATTCGCTGCATTACATCATACTGTAGACTCCATGATTGGTTATTTTACGGGGCTTTCAGGGATTGGATTGGATCGGATTGGATTGGACTTGGGATGGTTACGGATCGTCGCTCATTTGGGTTGCTTCTTTGGCTGGACTACTAATACTTTACTCGTTGCTGTCCATGTCACGGTTAGCTGTAGGATTCTGGGTATGGAGGTTGGATATTCTGCGGGCCAAGATTGAACAGGGTCCAATTGAGACCAGTTGACAAGGATTGATTTGCTTTTATAAACCATTGAACAAGAACGGGAACAAGCAACTGCAACTGCAACTGCAACTGCAACTGCAAAGTGAAGAGGCAAAGAAAGGCTCGGTCACCAACAGAGGCATATCCCTCCACCCAACGTCTTGTCACATCTCAACCCAATACCCTGCTTTTCGACCAGCCAATCCCTGCATGCAAGTCAGCACAAGCGAATCCAACAAAACAAGACACATGCCCATATGCAGCAATTCTGCCAGATGTCAAACAACAGGTGGCCCAAGTATCGGTACATCAGTCACACACAACACACAACACAACACACACGGGGGGTGCGACTCTTGAGCGTTTTGCCATACGCATAAACGGCTACCAACACCCCAAACTAGAGGATGGTGTACGAGTAATGTAAGTTGAAAACCCTGCGAGGAATAACTACTGTACTGTGCAGGTTAAGCTCTGTTGATCATAGTATCCTTTTTACAGTACAATATGTTGTTGGTCCAGGGGGGTGACAAGCAAACTATTTTACTACTAAGGTACTACTAGTAGTAGTAATAAAAACGCTTTGCCCCTTTTTTTTTTGTTCAACGGCCTCTTTTCCCTTTTCATCGTTGTTGACGAATTGCTAGTTCTGCTTTAAGTATAGACCGGCATGGGGGTTGTTTGTTGGTTCGTTCCGTTCCCACTTGGCAATTTGTTTTTTATTTTTTTTTGACGGCGGCTCGTCCCGTTGGCGGCTGCTTCTGGATCGTGCATTAGTATGTTTGCTTAGCCTGTTGGACTGGGGAAAAAAAAAAATAGAAACTAGAACGTTGGAAATGGGAACTTGGTGTTGGGAGTTGTGGGATGCGAAATGGTGCGCAAGTGTAGCTTGGGGGTGCTGTTTGATTGTTAGAATGAATTGGCTTGGGACGATGTAAAGACGGCATTGAGCTGAGCTGGTTTAGAGTGAAAGGGCAGGACGATATGCGCAGTTTCACTCGAGAGCTAGCGTTGAGTGGCTTGTTGTTTAACAGCACTGCATCTCGATGGTCGAGTCTTGCGTGTGGTTGTGTGAGTTTTGATGGTGATGTGCTGCGCGTCTCAGTGTTGAGAACAAAACGTGTTGGTCATGACGAGTGACTCATGAGACGAATGAATGGGCTTGTACATCAGCGAGAGAATGATACACGTACACAATGAGCAAGTGAGTCTCGCTCAAGTGAGCACATGGCGATAGTATGCATACCCACTCAAGCGTCTCTGCAGTGTTGGACAACAACAACAACAACCTTGACGTTTTGCCAAACAAGTTTCCAATTGCGCTCTCGACTTATACTACCCGCTGTCTAGAGAATCTCTAGACCACCGACACTAGCATGTAAAGATGTAAAGGACTGTCTGGAGAAGTCCCCAATGGGGAGCGAGATTGTCAAGACCAAAAGATTGTTCAAACCTCGCGAAGCCGGAAACCGTTCCCAAGGCAGCAAAATAAGCAAAAGACGAGGAGAAAAAGAAAGTGGAAAAAGACAAGTAGAAAAAGAAAGAAAAGGAGAAAAGGAGAAAAAGAGAAAAAGAAAACGCCACAACCCCAACCTGACCAACCCACCACCTCTCCTCCTCGGAACCAAGACTCCCCCCATCAAGACTCCAGTCTCCTCGCTCGACTGCGCTCATCGTAGACGTCAACCGCAGTCACTAACATGGTTCACGCCTCCTTCCACGCACCAGAACCGGCCGCATCCTCATCTTTGCCTCAAATCTCTCGACAAAGGACGCATCCGGCCGCACAAGTCCCGCACTGGCCCAGTCCTCCTCGGGCCACTCCTCGTCGATGGAAATGACTTCTCTAAAGCTGCTTCCGTAGCCACGAGAGCGAAACATGTCTATCCGGTTATTGGCAGACCGACTCCACATCCTTGCGCGGTGGTCTCTTACGCGCTCGTCCTCGCCAAAGTTCTGCATCATGATGCCCAAGGCCTCCCTGAGATCGACACACTCCTTTTCCATTTTCCACGTCTCGTACGGCGTCGGCATCGTCATTCGGGCCATTTCTTCGGCTGTAGAAGTCTCGTTAATGTCTCTCTCTCTAATGTCGTCGTTGAAGCGGACCAGCTGAAGACGATTCTGTGGCACAAGCAAGGCGTTGACCTTGGCCGAGTCGGGCTGCTCTGACGAGTTAGTCGTGTAATGCACCATAGACACCATCTGGACACCATCTTACCGCGTCGCCATGGACGTCCGCCTCGATCCAAGCCTCAGCATCCATTGGTGGAGGGAGGCTCGGGCCCATGAGGAATCTCCGAGTCTCGAGCCCCCCAAACCGGCGAATCTCCTCGCGATTCATCGAATAGTCTGCGATTTCGTTTTCCAGTCTCCACGTGTGGAGAGATCGCTGAAGCTTGGTCTGGGTGGCTGTGGATTGTAGCCAATGAGGGGGTCGTCTCGGTGTATCAGGAATCATCCCCGTGGTTGGTGTCTCTGGAGTTGACGCTTCGGTGGCCGAGTTCACTTCCGTTGGCGTTTCCGGTGTCAGTTGTTCCGACATGTGTGACTCCATCAGCGCCTCGTCCACCTGATCGTTTGGCATCAGCTCGTCGAGCAGTCGTTGCCATGGTACCTGCGGTTCTTCCCCTCCAAGTCCTGTGGATGCCTCTTCTCCTACCGACTCTGGCATCGGTGCCTCCTCCCTAAGCTCGTTGTATACCCGGTCCTCCTCCATCATATACGCTCTCTTGTTGTAAATAACGAAATATTCGACAAGGTCCGCAACGCTGGCTCGCCGTAGGCCAGCATATGAGTTCGGGAACGAGACGCAATAGCAAAACAATCTCCCAATTCCGCTCTCCGAAGCTTAGGGTTCAAAATCCACAAACTGACACCTGACAGCGGCGAAGAAACTTTGTGGATGATTCCGGGTCCAGAGAAACCATCACAGGTGTCCCACGCGAGACATGTATCAGCAAGCCATGCCTCCCGAGCAAGCCTACCCAGAGCGAAAGTATAAGAACGTCGAGAATCGGTGAAGAAAAGGATAGTCCAGGAGTTGACGCTGATGCTTCTGGTGATGATACCAGAGGTTTCCTCAGAGGTCGCTGCTAGAGAGAAGGATAATCAGATAGAGAGAGAGTGAGAGTGAAGAGAAGAGAAAGAGATGGCGGATGACAGAACCAGCCAAAAAGAACGGAGAAAGAAGAGGTAAAAGAAAGTGTGTAAAGTCAAGAGTCCGCCTCCCTCAGAGCAGCGCCTGCCAGTCAAAGTAACCCCAGACCGCCTCCCAACTGCTCGATTTTTTCCTGCACTGTCATTTCCTACTGCTGCTCCGCTGTTTCGTCATGTGCGAGGGGAAAAGAGGAGAAAAGAAGAGGACAGATGTAGGGAGAAGAAGGAAAAGTAAAAGTGAAAATAGGATCTGGAGTTTATATAGGTCCACAAGGGTCCCCGTTTGTCGTCTATACCCCTCAGTGAGATATCCACGGCACGTGCCCTCCTCTCGTTTGTTGGATATTACCTAGAATAGAGTCATTGGACGCCATGTACATGTATCGTGAGAGGCAGTATTTGAAGTAGACAGTACCTAACATGAAAGCATGGTGACAAACATTGTTCAGCAACAAGGCCCGGGAAAACGGCCTCGGGACATTCACTGTATCATGAGTCACAAGTCACAGAGACGCAAGCACTCACGTAAACTCTGTCCAGAGCCTCCTCTCAAGTCCACGCCCCATATTCACGGCTCCATCCACAGCTCCATAATCACACACAAACACAAAAGTATATCAAAGCCGCTGCGTTTCAGGAGAAAGAAGAACCCACTCACTAACAGGAACAACTACCAACTCCATAAACTCATTCTATATATAAGTACTTCCAGCATGGTATCCATAGCATGAATCGGCATCACATCACCAAAAACACCCTCGGCCGAACTTTATATGCTCTATGCCCCCTCCTCCCCTGACCTCATGGCCCAACCAACTCAACGCCATCTCGTCTTCCTCCAAGCAGGCCGGACCCGCCTCGCCTCCCGGCCGAGCACCTAGCTCCGATCGTCCTTCTTCAGAAACATTTCCAAGACGATTCGCTCCCGGTCCTTCTTCGCCTTATCCTTGTCGTCACTCGTCCGGAACAACAGCGGGCTCACAATCTCGGCATATCTCCGCTCCCTCACCCTCCTCTTCCTAGCTGCTTCCGTCTCCCCAGGGCGGAAACTCAGTCGTCGGGTCAATGCGCCAAGTGCGGGCGATGGCCCTGTCGCGGGATTCAGCTCGCCGATCACGCGGGAGAGTGTAGCCGTCAAAAAGACAAATGCAATGTTGTGGCTCGGAGACATTGAGAGCAGGTCGAGGATGTGGTTCTTCACGTCCAGCCATGATGCTACCGGCAGCGTAGTCAGGTTGGGCAGTTCAATCGAGAGCTTGGCCCAAAGATGTGGTGGAATGAGCCCGTCCATGAGGGATTCGAGGAACAACATCAGGATGGATGAGTAAACCTCCAATTTTTGCGTTGACAAGAGCTCCACCGGTAGGGCATCCGCCAGGGGCGAATTCGTGTCGAGTGCGGAGATGAGGGCTGCCTTTAATTCGTCTAGCTTTGCGGCTTCCACAGTCCATGTCGATGCATCCAGTGGCCAGCCGGGATCTCGTGGCACAGTCAAGTCCTCCAGCATCGCCTCGTCGGCTATACATCGCTCGGCTGCGGTCTGGATGGCCTCTGTAAGTTTGAAGAGCTCTCGTGGAGCGGAACAATGCACATCCCAGTCGTAGGTAATGGTGCCTTGGATGCCCTTTTCCTTGACAAACTTTCGGATTCCGTATTCCGGTACTCGAATCAGCTCGTCAATCGACCGGCCGAAGCAGCTCGGCAGCCAGATGCCGTGTACGGGAACAAAATGGTCCTTGCCGCCCTCGACACGCAATACCAAAACTCCATCCAGCTTGCAACTGGCATCGTTGAGAGCGCGAACATGTGAAATCTCGCAGACGCGCGCCTCGATGATAGCCAATATCGTCTCGCCCGGTTCGAGCGTTACCGATGATCCAAGCTTGCTCTTGGTGCCATCCTCGTCAGGCCGGTGGAAGGACGTATTCAGCCATTGTGAAGAGCCCATGTCATCCTCACTTGTCTGTGTCTCGTGGAGAAACTCAAAGCTAGCAGCTGCACTACTAGTGTTGGCAATGGTAACCGAGCACGAATGCGTCTCAAAGAAGCCGACATAGCCAAAATCAACCACGCCCTCCGTATGGCCGTGACCGCCTTCTACGATGAGAGTAACGCCAGGGCGACCCTCATTCTCGGCCCGATCCAACTCGAAAGCGATCTCCGAGTGGATTCGAGCCTTCTTTTCCGGATCGACAGCGTCATAGCGTAGTGTAAATGTAGAAATGACGGGCTTATGGTCCGAAGACGTGATTCGCTGATGCGAGGTGTAAAGATCGAGAGAGATTTGGTCCTGATCGCCATCGTCTGCTTCCGCGCCAGTGTCGTTTATATCATACTCTTCATATTCGTTGTATGCCTCACTGGATGCTGCTTTTGGTGGCTGGTCCTCTCCATCGGTGTCGGGGTCATAGCTGAAGAGGACATCGTCATCTTCCTCGATCCCTCTCGCTCTCATTTCGTCGTCTTTCATCTTGGCCTCTTTCAACTCCTCGAGCATTCTTTCATGCGCCTCCCTGTCCTTGCGTGTCCTGTAGAGGACCCGATCGCACCAGCTAGGCGCCCGCTGCTTCTCGCTCGTATCAAACAAGCCAAAAGTACCGACATCGTACTTGAAAGTTGGAAGGAATGAAATGGATCCTTCTCTCCAGCCGTCGTGAAACAATCTGTGCTGCTTAATCACTCGCCTCAGTTGGTCATGCGGTAGAAGGGAATCGATAGTTGCCTGCAGAGAAGCCGGGTCCTGGCTGGGATCCTCGGGGAAATCATCCGGGTCTGGCAGGGAGCTTGCCGAGTCAAAACTTTGGTCAAAGCTGTGGTCCCTGGAGTGCATTGACGACATTGTGGTTGTATCGTCGTCGCTTTCTGACGACCTCATGACTATGATGCCATCGCCGCCTTCGATGGGCGGAGGCTTGTCGTTGCTCAAATCGTACTCTCCCCGAGCATGCAATGTGAGCAGCCTTCGGATGTCATCTCCCGGCAGGCCATCAAGGCGAAAGTTCATGTCTCCAAACCAAAATGCAAAATCCTCATCTCCAATCCTGTCGCCCTCATCATCAGACACGCCTCCAATCACGATTGGGTCAAACTGGGTTTTTGACACAATCTGCCCTACGTCCCAGCACCGTCTGTTGAGAGAAGCCGAGTCTGCGCCACTAGCGAGATGGCAATTGACAAAGAGGAGCTTCGTGGTTTCGCCCAGCACAAGACGGGTGGCCACGGCGCCTTTGTTCCCAAAGTATCCGAGCAGTCCTGTGCCGACCTGCCGCGTAGAAACATTGCTTATCGTGGGGGCGATCGTGGGAGAGGCGTAAACCAAGAGCAACAGACCCGTCATCTGCTCAGACACAACAAGCTGATAGCCTTGGGGTATTGCGGCTTCCAGCGCTGCCGTCCACTTCTCCATGGGCCCATTGTCAACGTAGATCCGGTTCATGTACTCTCTTGTCTGGTTGAGATCCACCACTTCTTGCAATCCCAGCACATAGAGATCAAACCCGCCGTCGTTCCCCAATCGTCTTGGCTCGGGGGTCCCGTTGCCCGACTCAGTCGAATGTCGTGGTGCAGCATCGGAGATGTCGAGGGCCGAGAGGCCATGGCCGAGTTCAGCATCTTCGGTGAACCAGCTGGCAAGATCCTTGTCGGTGCCGGTGCATGCTGCCACATTCCAAGTGCCTACTTTGACTCGGATCTGGCTCGGGCGAAGGTATTCGGAGCGACGAGACAGGACGGCCCTGGCTAGAGACTGGGGGACCCCAACTTCAACCGGATCCGAGGCGATGGACTGGCTGGGCTGGTCTCTGATGGACTCGGCCATTGTGTAGAAGGACAATGACGACGACGAAGAAGACCGTTGAATGCGACGTCGCTACCTCTCAAGGTCGTGGATCTTCTTGCCACAGCCTGGCTGCTAGATCATGATGCGGCGACTGTGGTTGCGACGCAGATGGGCGTAAGGCGGCCGCATATATATATGAATACCAAAGTAGAGGTATGCGCAGTAGTCGGTGTTAAACTGCAGCAATTGATGGGATGCGATACAAATAAGAGGTTATGGAGGAGTATCAGCTTCAATAATGGCAATAGAGCAGAGCAGAGCACTCTTGAATGGACAAAGAAATGCAGCAGCAGGTAGTTGACAGGGTAAGGTAGCGAACGAGTACGAGAACAACGAGCTTCCCCGTACTAACTCGGGCCACCCATCCATGACAATTAGAGCTCGCGCGCGTCAATGCCGGGAATAGGCTGCTCAGGTCCCTATCGATAAGCTCCAGCAAACGCCTAGCGCTACTGAGCCACTACAGCCGCTATCCGCCCCTCCTAGCTCTCGGGCTAATACTAAGCTGATCAGCATCCAACCTTGGACTGTCATCTTACATCCACAGATTGCAAACAACATCTCTGTTGACGCATCCTCGCCATCATCATACTCATCACTGCCAGCTTCTTTGCAAATATTTACGACAATAGCCGTTCTCAGCCTTCTGCCAGTCCCTCCTTGTCGCCTTGTTGCTTTGGTCAGGACGGTCTCGGCTTCATCATACAACACTCTTCTCCTCTCTCCGTCTCTCCGTCTCTCTCCGTCCTTGATCAAACACCTCGTCCTCGTTGTTGTTACCGCTGCCGCTGTCATCCACTGCATACATAGCAGTCCCCTTCCACTCCTCCATCCTCACTCTCTCAAAGAATCATGAGTCGCCCAACGCCCCGAAAACCGCGGCACAACCGCCATCCCTCAAACCGCATCCCCGCCATCTCCGACTACGAATCCGACGCCGCAGCCATGACCTCCGCCTACGAGGCGCCCCCGCCACGAACAAACACCGAGCTCAACCTCTCCGTGCTCCAGCGATACCTGCCGTCCATCAGTAGGATCCTCAGCATCGCCGCCAACGCCGTCGTCTACACCTTCGACAGCGCCGCCCAGAGCTGGGAAAAGTCCGGCATCGAAGGCACCATGTTCGTCTGTGCGCAGACGCCGCTGCCCGAGGACGTCGACTACCGGCCCCGAGCGTGCGTCTTTGTGCTCAGCCGCCGCGGTCTGGATAACTTGGTCGTCGATCTGGCGAGGGTCGGTCATGTGGAGCTCATGGGCGAGCTGGTCATTCTTAAAGTTGAAGGTGAGGGGGAAGCGGACGAAAAGGTGCTCGGAGTGTGGATTCACAACGACGAGGAGAACACAAGGGCAACCAATGGGGCCATTATCGAGGAGAGCTGGAAGATTGCGCGGGCCGCCGGGACGGTGTCAAAGTTAAACGAGGGACCAGAAGCTGGGCCAGCGATGCAAGCAATAGGACGGCCGCTAACGCTTAACGAGCTGTTTGGGAGACAGAAGGAGGGTACTGGAAGTTGAGCGAAGCGATTGAACGGGGCTGAACTTTTTAACTAGACATGAATTTTGGCATCATTACGGAGAGGAGACTTGGGGTTACATGCAAATATGGGATTCGCTGTCAAGGAGGGAGATTGGTGGCATCTGGCTGCAAAACGGTCAATTCACAGACAACTACGACGGAAAGAGGTCGTCAGAACCATTTTGCATGGTGAGAAGGAATTGTATTCTCATTACCCGAAACATACTGCCCTGCCACGGGCACACTTCCGGCCTGCAAGTGCCAGTCTATCCATAGACTCGTCCTGAGCAACCAATATCTAGATACAGTAAACAAACAATCCATACGCCGATTAGCTTTGTAATTCGCAACTCCTCGCTCCCTAGTCGCCTCTTCTTTGATGCTTGGTTTTAAAACACTTGTGGCCCATGCCCAATTACACCGTTCCGCTGATACTCAGCTCCCGAATCTCCTGCAGCACCTGCTCCACCCTTGCATCGAGGTGGCCTTCTGCGTACAAATCTCGAGTGTCCGCGTCCAGGTATTGCTGTACTTGCGCCATACGCGAGTAGGCTTCTGCGCAGAACCGCAGCTGGATCTTGACCAGGGCTTCAAAGCTGGGATCCAGGTAGGGGACACGCAGGTCAATCAGCTGCGGCAACTCGGTGGTGAGCTGCTCGTTCAGCTGCTCGTACACGGCCTTTGACATTTCCAACTCCTTCTCCGTCCGCGGCAGCTTCGTAGCATCCTTGTCCGGCTTTTCGACCAGCTTCTTCACCTTGGCTCGGAGAGCATCGTAGTCGAGAAGCTTGTGCGAGCGCTTCTTGATGCATTCGTTGACGTCGGGGAAGTAGGCGCAGAATCGGGCAATGGGGTCGAGCACCGTCATTCGGTAAGGGCCGTCGAGGGCTTTGATGGTTTCGGCGTCGAGGTCTTCGACAGCCTGCTTGTAGCTCCTGCTAACGCCGTCCTTGGCACCCGAGTCGCCGTAGAACGCATCTATCGTCTCGGCGATTCTCATCTGTGAAGCCGTCATGGCTGGTTTTTGGTCGGGCACGTTAGTCGGGCGCTCGGAACGTTCGGCCGGGCGTCTGCCTACCTCTCAAGGAGTCCAAGTAGCCCTTTGATTCTTTCTGCAGCCGCAGTGCTGCTGTTTCCATCGTCTTGAACCGCCTGCAGTTGGGTCAGCACGTGCCATCCCTCGCCGGCAGCTTGAATTCCCCTATATCTAACCTCTCTTCGACCTCGTAATCGCGATCGTTTGTCTTTTCCACATGCCCTACATCCGCAAGATCAGAATGCCGCCCGAAACGAATAGCCATCGGCCCTGCTCACCCGTCTTCATCATCACCTGCGTCGTCGCGCGGTTCACATTCTTCTTGAATCCTAGAATCCCGTCAGCCCCTCTCCCTCTCTATCAGCGGGGCATCCGCAAGCTCCGTACCCGCCCACGACATGTTGACTGTCTTGTTCGCTGGTAAATAAGGCCGGTATAGTTGTGCTCTATCGCGGGGTATCGAGGACTGCAGAGATTTTTCTTTGCCGGTTTGTGCTGGTGCGTGTTCGTTCGATTGCGACGGGATGACGGAGTAAGGAGTTTGAGCTGAGGCTTAAGAGCTGGACAAAGTGACGACTGAGCTGGGGCCCCAGCCACGATGCTCCGCCCAATCGGCTCATCGACGTCAGCGATGGGCAGCTCAGCCACACCTGGAAAATCCATCTTCCGCCACTCTGCACAGCGCGTCTCACGTGAGAGCCATCAATTCAACTTTTCCTTGCTTGTTTCCATCCAGATCCAAATCCGGTTCATGATTTGCAAGCGGGAGCGGAACCGGCGGGGATTCTTTGAGTTTCTGCTCGATGCGGAAAGCATGTTCAGCCCTCGATTCCTCATCGTCAGCCTCGGGAATCCATTGCCAAAGTACGAGAGTCTACATTCGGCCGGCCACTTTGTCCTCCATGGCCTCGCAAAGACGCTTCACCTGCCGGCCTTTCGCGAGGTGACGCTGGGCAGGCAGTCTTGCTTGGTATCTCAGGGCCCAAAGTACATTCTCGTGCAGTCTCCGACGTACATGAACGTCTCCGGAGGCTTTGTGGCGAGTGCGTGGCAGGAAACCGCCCGGAAATACGGTGCCGAATCACTCGGCCTAGTCATTGTTCACGATGAGCTAGAAAAGGACTTTGGGGTGGTCAAGCTTCTGCCGTGGGACCGCAGTCCGCGTGGGCACAACGGCGTCAAGAGCGTGAGAGGCTCGTTATCGCAGAAAAGGTATCCGGAGTCACCCTTTGCCCGCATTGCCGTCGGCATCGGGCGTCCTGAGGAGCGAGATGCAGCTACGGTGAGCCGTTATGTGCTCAATAAAATCTCTCGTGAGCACCGAACGACGTTAGAGGAAGAAACGCCTTGGGATGTCGCAAAACGTCTCATGGAACTGGAGAACCAGTGGAGGATTGATGTCCAGGGCGGTTCGGGAGGAACCACAGAGCCATGATCAGGCTTTTTACTCTTCTCATTCTTCATCATCTCCCTGCATGGATTCCACGTCTTTTTCGATGGGCAAATCACGTCTCTTAGCGACATCATAGAGCATCGGCATCATCTGGAAGCAGGCTCTTGCAATTAGAGGATGAGCGTGTCCGCAAGGAACCGGACGGCCACTTGCTATCGACCTAGATTCGATGTCATTTCACAGTAGAGGAACGATTTATCAAGATAGATACACCACCAACCCGGGATCTTGACAAGGATGAGGAGCGAATACCAGAGACAGTGCTCTGCCCTTTGACTTGTCTCGTCCCAGTGAGACTCCAGCAAGTGCGGGAGAGAGTCAAATCTCCCCGAGACTCACACCACGCTGCAATGCAATTTAGAAAGACAAAATAGCGGAGGCCATGTTATTATCACACATGTCACCTCTTGAGATACAATCTTACATCAACAACTGGGAAGCGATTAGAGCCGTGTGATGAATGATTGAACGCATAAGCCGGTGTTGCAAGAATGCTTCCGATCGGAGGCTCGACTCACGACCAACACCGTCTCCTATTCCAAATCTTTGCGAATTTGCCATGTGTCTTACATCAAACATTCATGTGAACCACCGGCATCGGACTCGTCTGAATGCGCTGCTTGGTCGAGAACCCGAAACTCTGTTTACGCTGTGGATATTCGACATGCATGTGAAAGTGAGATTTGCTCGAATCATGTCTCTGCAAGCTCTTATTCATCCACCGTGGCTGACACCAGACAAAGTATACATCGACTTTCCATGATGGATGTCTCAGACCACGTTCGCCTTACCCGGGACGTACGGGGAGCGAGCTGGAGATATCCGGGGGAAGACGTGGAGGAGGCACCCTTGGCATCACAGCTGGACAGCCATCAGGCACAACCTCACGACGCTAAGGCCAGCCCCCCACAAGCGCGGCGTCGAAGAGACGAGAGATAAGGAATGCGGCCCAATCAGCGGCACCGGAATGTGGCTGTTTGGGCATTATCTCGCCGGGGTGCCATGCGTCCAAAGGAGCGTCTACACCAGACAGGGAATAGGTTCCGTCGCCCCAAGGATGAGAGGCTTGGAGACAGATGCCACTGATAAGAGCCATGTGGTGTGTAAGGCCTCGGCGGATAAGCACAAATGGCTTCGCGTAAGGTCATTGAGATTGTCCGCCCCGTGCAGATACCGGTAAAGACACGCTTTTGCTGCCATCGGGCGGTCGTGCAGGGTCCAACGAGTCGCTGCTTGGTGTCGGTGTTGGTGTGCCCCAGATCCAGTGCATATCCAGACACGCGATGCCTCCCCTTTAATACGGAGGACGATCTGGCGCAAATGGATATACGGGTGGGGCGACGTTTCTCGACGGGAATCGCCCCAGAGCTGATGAGGCAGGGAGGACGATGCAACATGGCACTGCAGGTGGCGCATCTACAATACCACGGAAGATGCTCTCAAAGGGACAAGACATCCACGGGTGCCGTATTGAGGCTGGTGCGACGGCCCGAGAAGGGGGGACGTCCGAGGGCGAGATAACGAGCAAGACACAACGCCTTTCCGGAGACTCACTCATACACCGTCTGTCTATGAGAAGCGGTTCAACAAGACGAAGACGACTTGAGGGCTGCCCTTCACAGAAACCTTCACCTCATGTTGCTCCATGCCCGAATCATTGATTACAGACGAGCAAATGAATAATGGCTCCTGTCATCGGCTAGCTTTCCTTTATTCCTCGTACTTTGGCCCGGCCATGCTCTTGATATGCACGAGATAAGCCTCCCAGATAAGCATCGACCCAACATGGCACCGCCGTCCTGGAGAGCCTGTGGGAGGCGCATCACTTATCTCTGTGGCTTCATCCCTGGCCACTAGAATAAGTGGTGTCCGCACCAATGAAGTTGCCATCCATTTCGAGGGCGATAAGCTCATCTGAGAGGCGTGCACCTGCAGCCCGATTTCACATCGTACCTGTCCTGGGTATGCGAGACTATTGGGCCTCATGGAGCTAGCACTTTATGTATGCTACGGGCGTGGGATGAGACTGATTCTCACATGCCCCATTCATGCTGTTCCATCCAGTGATATAACTTTAGTTCATCCGAGCTGAAAAGCTATGCGGGATAAGTCGGGGGGTGTCCAGGAAGTTTATGCGGAACTGATGGCTTGGGGTGCTTTGGCTTGATCGGCATTGTCTGTAGTACCATTCGGGCGGTGATATATATCATCCCTTCCTCCCAATCTCACCTCGCATCCTGTTCCCTGCCGATCCATTCTCTCTCCCCCATCTCTCGCCGGTCTGGTGGTTTTTACTCGATATACTTTTGAGGTGTATCGTCGAACTCGAGGAGTAGCCCGGCTACACGACAAAGACACCCAAGGAACGAGGCGATAGTAGACGACTTTTTGGGAACACACGAAAGAATCGGGAAACGAATCATTCACCATGTCGTCGGTCGTTGCCTACAATGGCACCACAGGGAAAGCAGACGACGGTCACTCGGCCGACGTCAGCGACCTCAACATCTTCTACGACGTATGTCCATTATACTACTCTTGTTGATGGAATAGGGGGTTCCGCCGTGATGGGAAGCAACACAACCAGAAACCAGCTCACTAACATACTCTGCCATGTAAACAGCCCGGTCAAATGGCTTGGATCCTCGTCAGCTCCGCCCTCGTCCTGCTCATGATTCCCGGCGTGGGCTTCTTCTACAGCGGTCTCGCGCGCCGCAAGTCGGCCCTGTCGCTCATCCTCCTGTCCATGGTCTCGGTCGGCGTCATCAGCTTCCAGTGGTTCTTCTGGGGCTACTCGCTCACCTTTTCGCGAACCGGAAATGCCTTCCTCGGCGACCTGACGCAGTTTGGTCTGATGAAGACGCTGGCCCAGCCCAACGGCTCTGCTAACCTGCCTGACATTCTCTTTTGTCTCTACCAGGGCATGTTTGCTGCCATTACGTGAGTCTCTCTCACCTCATTCTCATTCCCCTTTAGCTCACTTCACTGACACGATTCGCTTCACAGTCCCGCCCTCGCCATCGGTGCCGTCGCTGACCGTGGCCGCATGCTCCCCGCCATCGTCTTCATGTTCATCTGGTCCACCGTCGTCTACGACCCCATCGCCTACTGGACCTGGAACAGCAACGGCTGGCTCTTCAAGCTCCCCTCGTACGACTTCGCCGGAGGTGGCCCCGTCCACATCGCCTCGGGCACCTGCGCCCTCGCCTACAGCATCATGCTCGGCAAGCGAACCGGATACAACAAGAACAACGGCCTCCCGTACCGCCCCCACAGCGTCACCAACGTCGTCGTCGGCACCGTCTTCCTCTGGGTCGGCTGGTTCGGCTTCAACGGCGGCTCCGCCCTGGGCATGAACATCCGCGCCGTCATGGCCTGCTTCGTCACCAACTTGGCCGCCTCCGTCGGTGGTGTCACCTGGATCCTGCTCGACTACCGCCTGGAGAAGAAATGGAGCACCATTGGCTTCTGCTCCGGCGCCATTGCCGGCCTCGTTGCGATTACGCCGGCTTCTGGTTTCGTCACTCCCTGGGGCGGCTTCATCATCGGCGTCGTGGGCGCCATCTGCTGCAACTTTGCCACCAAGCTCAAGTTCCTCATTGGCGTCGACGATGCCCTCGACATCTTTGCCGTCCACGGCGTCGGCGGTATGGCCGGCAACATTATGACGGGTATCTTTGGAACGTAAGTCGTCTCAATAATCACTACACGATCAAACACAGAAATCGCTAACATTCTTTCTTCTCCAGCTCCTCCATCGCCTCCCTCGACGGCGGCTCCTACCCCCCCATCGGCTGGATCCAGCACCACTGGGTCCAGCTCGGCAACCAGATCGCCGGCATCTGCGCCGCCTTTGGCTGGTCCTTTACCCTCTCCTGCATCATCCTCTTCCTCATGAACCTCGTCCCGGGCCTGTCCCTCCGCGTCAGCGCCGAGGACGAGGAGGTCGGTGTTGATGACTGCCAGCTCGGCGAGTTCGCCTACGACTACGTCGAGCTGACGAGGCACGTCACCGATGGTGTGGCTCTTAACACGCCGGCCGTCATGAGCAGCAGCAGTTCGACTGCGGAGAAGCATTCTGCTGAGAAGACGCCCGTTGAGACTGTTTAATAAAAATAAAAAAGTGTACTTTATGAGAGTGATGATGTTGTGTAAAGGGGCGGGTATAATAGGTAGTATTTCAAGGAGTACATAATGATTTTTTTTTATTTGACGCAACAAGGGGGGGGAAACATGTTTATTGATACCATTTGTTAGAGCATTCTAGTATTAGTCTGATGCAATACTACCTACATACAATTCACGCATTCATATTTCGACACCCCTTCTCACAAAGAGTAAAGTTTCATCATCCATCAATACAACACACTCAAGTCTTTCCCACAGTACATCACCTAAACATAGAAACACACGACTAAATCACAATAACCACACAAAAAAAAAAAAAAATAACACTTCAAATCAATTAATGCAACCCTATATCAGAAAGCCCGTCTAATAAAAAAAGAAAAAACCCCTTCCATCTTCCCTTAGCAGACGGTCCCCCTCCAACCTCGAAACCTGTAACCGTAAATATCACAGCTTCATAACCATATCATGCACACACAGTGTTCCCATTCCAACCCAAAAAAAGAGATAGAAAGACAAAAAAGTTAGGAAGCCAGTTAAAAACAAATGATGACAGCGTTTCTCATTCCTGACACTCTTCACAGCTTTTTTTTTGTTCATGCCGCCGAAACTATATCGCACAGTCTCTTCCCACCCTTTCATAACGGCACAGCCGGAGTTCAGTATCAGTGTCAACCATCCCAGATAACAATATCCCTTATAATGATAAAAATAAAATTCCACCAGTTTGTTCCTCCCTCCCCGGCCTCAGAACGAATAGTACGCAACGGGACGTGCCTGTCAAGGTGATGCAGCTTGCTAGTTATTGCAACGCCGCTGTTATCAAACCCCCTGATAAAAAGACATCCGTACTCGTCCTGTATAGACCATGCTCATCTAGAAGCGTCTCGTAGCTTGAATAAAAATCCGAATCATGACCAGTTTTGTACCACGTAACCATTGCCGTGCACGCCAAACATGTAAACTCCGTGGCTGCGCTATAAATATAGAACACTATTCCCATGCATCGCGAAAACAGGGGTGCCGTGAATAGATATGCTTTCAATCCTGGGAGGACGGAGTGGTGATCATGGCCTCGCTATTGGAGGCTCCCCTTTTCATCACCATTCCATCTTCCCGTCTATCGAATGTGCCTGTTAACCAATAACTTCAAGGCTTTGCATGTTACAAGCCTGTACAGACAGTAATTCAAAATCTTCAGTTGGCGTCGCCTTGCTGCTGCTGCGGCGGCTGTTGTTGCTGCGGCTGCTGATCCGGTGTCGTGCTCGGTGGCTGATGCATAGTCACCGTGCTGGCACCTGTAGAGGGCCCTGCCGTTGCCGAATTGCCCTGCCGAGAGACGGAAGGCTGCGATAGGCCCGCAATACTGGCATGGAAACTCTGAGCATTAGGAACCACCATGTTGGCGGAGTTCAAGGGAACGACAAAGTTGGGGAATGATCTAGTCCTGATCGTGCCCGTGGCTTCGTCAAAGAGCTCTGCTGCTGCGGCTGGCCCGTACTGCTGGGTGAGCATGTTGGTGAGAAAGGTGGACGACGAGTTGATGGTAGGCGGCTCGATCGGAGGAGGTACGGGAGGTACCTGGTTGGCATCGCCAGGGGCCTGCTGGGCTGGCAAGTGGAAGGGCAGATTTTGGGCCTGTACGTCTACAACCATTTCACTTGCGTCCAATCCCTCAAAGTCATTATCTTCGTAGGCCATGTCATCGTCAAAGCCCTCGCCTTCGGTGGTTTGGATTGCGGGCATTCCGCCGGGTCGGCGCGGCACTGTCCTCATACGGCCGGCATGTCGTTGATAGAAGCTGTCTCGTAGATCTTCGAATTGTGGTGCAGTGTTCAGGTATTCGCGGAACTTGGACACCATGTTTCCAGAAAAGACACAAAAGACGTCCCGCTGATGTTGCGTAAACTCTGTTGCTACGTCAGCATGCGATCATTGGTCACACCAAAGTGATAAGGGAAGAGAAAAGAGCAAGGGATGAAAGGGATGAAAGGACAAGACTAACCAGCTGGCGCTGCTCTGCAAAAGGGCTGGAATTCGTCTCGTTGAAACGCGGCCACTCCGGTCAAGCTGAGGTGGGTAAGACGGGGGCAAGAGTTGAGCAGTCTCATGATGCTCTACATTTCATGTTAATTTCTTATCCGTACGCCCCAAGAAAGGAAAACCATACCTTGAGAGTCAGGTTCACGCAGTAGCTGAGATGGACTCGCTCCAAGCTTGGGGCAAAATACTCGCCGCCCAAAAACATTCCGTTGGCGTCTCTCCTGACGCGCGGGCGATAGGCCGCCTCGGCAAGGGCAAAGACGGATTCATCTGTGATGCTGCTGCACTTGACCAAGCCAATGCGCTTGAGCTTGGGCAGCCCGGCGAGGCATCTGACGGACGCATCAGTGAGGAGCGTGCAGCATCCCAGATCAATGTAGCGGATGCGGTTGCAGCTTCGCACCAGGCGAATGACTCCTTCGTCGGTAATCTGACTGCAGTGGCCGAGGTGAACATAGTGGAGGTTCTTGCCGAGCTTGGCAATGGAGTGGATGGCGGTATCCGTGATGTTGCGGCACTTGGAGAGAAGCAGGTTTCGCAGGCGAGGGGCAGCGTCGATAATCTTGCCAACGGCAGCGTCGCTGAGGCGGCTGCAGGATGTCAAGTCGAGGATCCGCAGGTGCTCATAGACCTGGGTCGGCGGCAGGGAGAGGAAGGCTTCGTCGTCAATCAGCTCGCAGTTGGCCAACCTGAGCTCGCGGAGACTGTTTCCCTTGGACAGGAGAGATGTGATGGGGCCGTTTCCGATCTGGACGCACTGGTGGAGATCGATTTCCAGGATGTTTGGGCAGTGCTCGGCAAAGGCAAGCACGGCGTTGTCACGCAGCTGAACGCATTCGTTCAATTTAAGCTTGAAGAGAGGAGTCAAGGTCAGCCAGTGTGTCAAAAGAGAGTAGATTGGATGGAGAGAGTCGGCGGGGGATGAAGATGTGAAGCCGTGCCTAGTTCCGAATATACGTAAAAGAAGAAGGGGACAATAAGCACTCACTCTCTTGATATATCTGCAGCTCTGGGCCAGGGTAAGCATGCTCTCGTTGGAAATGTTCTCGCAGCCCGAGATGTTGAGGCCCTGCAGACGCTTGCAGTGGGTCGCAATGGCGTTAATGGAGCGCTCGGTAATGTGCTTGTCGTTGGAAATGTCCAGGGCCAGCAGCGACGAGCTGTTCTCGACGAGGGCAATGAGGCCGGTGTCGGTCAGACCTCGACAGTTGGTCAAGGTCAGGCGCTCGACCCTGGTGCAGACGGCGAGGGGCATGACGCTGCCGTCGTTGACCTTGTCGGCCAGGGCGGCGAGGTTGAGGCGCTTGATGAAGTCGCGATAGTGGAAGTAGGGATGCTCCAGGCCGAGCGTCTGACAGATGCTGTGGTGGTTCTTCCAGTTGGAGCAGGCGGGCCGATGCCACAGCAAGTCAACAGCGTTTCTAGCCCATCGCTTGGACACGAGCATGCAGTGGTACAGGTCCGAGGTGGAGCTCAGCTTGGAGAAGACGCCGATGAGGATTTCGTTGGGCAGCCGGTTGACGGGCGGCCAGCACGAGTCGTCGACTTGCATGTCTTGGAAGTTGGGGACGCCGAGCGAGGACTGGGAGTCGTTGGCGCCGAGGAAGAAGTCGGACTCTTCGTTGTCGGCCGGGGCGGGCGAGTTTGTGGAGGAGGAGGACCGAGAGTCCTCTCGCCCAGAGCTTCCAGCACCAGACGTTATTGTAGCCATGGTGATGTTAGGGGCTGGGCGGGCAGGCGGCCGCTACCTTGTCGGGCTCAAGGACTAGCTGCAAGGGAGAGCTTTTCGTGGTCGTGGTGATGACGGTAGTGTTGCTGGGTTTCTCGGTGCTATCGATCGGCCGTCGACTCGTGGAGGTTGTTTAATCTCGATGGTGATGGGAAGCGAGAGAAAAAGAAAAGAAATCGAGAACGGGGACAAAAGAGGGCAGCCGTGATGAGAGCCCAAGAGGAAAGTGAGCAGATGGTGAAAAGAGGGATGCCTCCTAAAGGGGGGGGAGAAAGAGAAGAGAGACAGAGAGGCTGTCCCGTCCCGTCGAGCCCAGGCTTTCAGGCCTTGCGGGCTGTATTTGGGTTGGCACCAGAGACACGACCAGGGACAGCGAGTGACTGCGTCTGTATGTCTCAGCGGGCGTGCCGAAAGGGCTCCAGCGGTGGGAAGTTGGATGACGTCGGTTTGCGGTATGTATGTATTCAGCTCACGAGTTCGCGGGGGAGAGGCTGGCTGGCGATGGCGGACGGTGATGGAACCTGAAGAGCCGCTACAAAGCAGAGTCTGAAGCTGAGGCTGGAAGCAGGAACAGAAGAAGAGAAGAAGACGGAAGAGAGCAGACGGACGGACGGAACGGCAAGGGAAGGGCCCGAAATGAAATGAAAGGGGGCTGCAGTGCGTGGTTGCTGGCCGAGATGCTGCGGTTGGTCTGGCGGGTTGAGGCTGGCGATGGCCTGGTCAGCAGAGAAGGCGGCAGAAACCCGAGGCGGAGGCCAAGACGGTCCGCGTGGGGGCCCTTTGGAGCACCTGTGCTGAGATCGGGGGCTGGGGGGCGCTGGAAGTCGGTGCCGCTAGCGGACAGAGGCGCTGTGCTAGGGGGGAGCTACAGGTGATGCATGTTTGCTGTCAACGCCTGGGACCTTGGAAACAGGTCTGGTCTGAATGAAAAGTGACGGTAAGCGTGCTTCCATAGTGTGCCGTACCTGTACCTGTACCTGTAATATCGACTTGTACCTGTAATATGACTGCCCTGTGATGAGTCGACCATGCAGCAAGCAAGTCAGACGGTCATTTCACTCAGTAAGACACTGGACCAGCTTTAGGTAATTTAGAAGCTGCAAGACAACGGGCGTCAAAACTCGAATGGCGAGACATTGGAGGAGCCCAAGTGCTATGCCGCACTACTAATGTAATTTCACAGCCGCTGCAAGATTTCGACTCCATGCTTCAAGGGTCATCGTCACAGTCACAGCTCCCCCTCACTTCCCACTTCCCGCTTCCAACTGTTTCTTTCTCTTCCCCTCCTCTCGTTTCAGCCCTCAAGCTATAGCTGTAAAATCATCTAAATTAAGAACCCCCAAAAAGAAAAAGAAAAGAAAAAAAACAAGGCCCAGTTGCCCATCTCGGCGACTCTTACTCCCGTTGAGAGCCCACTAGGTACTCTCCAAAGTCACTGCAGCTTCAAACGCACATCAAAAGTCACCCCCAAGTACCGCTACCTTTTACAAAGCACAGTCGCATCAAACCAAACCAAAATCACCCGCCCCAATCGCTGCCCGCCCTCTCTCCCTCTCTCTCCCCGCGCGCTTCCCAACAACCAAACACCACCAAAATGCCCGTACATACAAACGAGTAAGTACATGTACATACATGCACCCGCTACCTTGCCGCCCAGCTGCACACCAGCGAACAAATCGCAATGGACCTGAAGTCACCGGTTCGGTTCGCCGCACCGCACGTGATGCCCGATTTGTGACAGCCATGCAGCTGATCCATCGGACCTCTGGACAAGATGCACATTGGCCCAATGCACATGATCTCGGTGATGATGCTGCATGTTCCTCCATTTATTCGGCCTTTTTATTCTTCCAAGGTTCTTTGTGGCTGTAGGTACCCAGGCAGTAGTTAAGGTTGCGGTTCTTACACCAGAATGACAGCACAGTAGCAGAGAACCTTGAACGTAGAGGTATAGAGGTAGAGGTAGAGGTAGAGGTACCTGTACTTCATCGTCACATGCTTTATAATTCAGTCATGGCCCAAGTCGCTGCCCAATACAAAATGCCCCTTACATCGAGGCCTGATCGCATGCATGTACTCTGTACATGTACCTGCACCTGCACTCGTACTCATCCGGGGCTGAAAGCAGCAACAGCTCAAATGCCGCCGTCAACTCAAGCCGTGGAATTGATCAAATCATCCAAAACAATGCAATGTATTCTGGTATTTTACTTTATTTCATTATTTGATGCTATTGCTGCAGTTATTGCTATTACAAGCACTAATACTACTATAGGAATGGTGAGAAACGACAAGAGTCATGAGGTTTGTTGTATACGGGCACAGGCACAGACCCAGACTTGGTGAGAGCTTCACTGCTTCTCCAAAAACACCACCTTGCTGTCAAAATCCCCGTTAAACTGGTACTGCAGCCCGATATTCATCAGCGTCGCCCCCGAAAACGTCTGGTTGCCGTCAATCTTGTACTTGGCGCCCGCGTCCAGCCCCTGCAGCCGCAGCACCGGCCACGCGTTGTTGATGTTGGCCTTGATCTGGAAGTAAAACAAGACCGCCTGGCCGCCGTCCTCCGAGATGAACAAGGCTGCCGGCCAGTTGGACTCCTCCGGCAGACTCAGCCGCCACATGTCGCCCTTGACGACGATGGGATTCACCTTCTCCGCCAGCGCAATAATGTCTGGGATCTGCGCCTTGTCGTCGTCCGGCATCTTGGCCGGGTTGAGCTCGAAGCCAAACGAGCCTCCCATCATGGCGACGTGGGCGCGGAACGCGATGGACGTCGAGCGCTGCGTCTGGCCGTTGGGCACGGCAGAGACGTGGGCGCCCATGGCCGACGGCGGATACACCAGCGACGTGCCAAACTGGATCGAGATGCGCTCGACGGCGTCCGTGTCGTCAGACGTCCAGATGTGTGGGAAATACTGCAGCACACCAGGGTCGAAGCGGCCTCCTCCAGACGCGCATCCCTCCCACCGCACGTTGGGGAACCGCGTCGACAGCGTGTCAAAGACGCGGTACAGGCCCAGCATGTAGGCGTAGTCGAGCCCGGGATACGGCGCCTCGTGGATGCCGCGGTTGTTGTCCCACTTGACGTACGAGATGCTGGCGTTGCCCAGGATGTTGGACAGCGACTCGATGATGAAGTCCTGCACCTCGGGGAGAGCCACGTTGAGCACCAGCTGGTTCCTCGTCAAGGTGCGAGGGTACGACCCGGCGTGGATCGCCCAGTCCGGGTGCTCGTGATACAGGCTCGAGTTGGGGTTGACCATTTCTGGCTCAAACCACAGGCCAAACTGCAGGTGATCGGAGGAATTAGCAACCTTGAGCTTTGTCACGTTGGCGATGAAGTCTGGCAGCCCCTGGGGGAACCTCTTGGGGTTCGCCTCCCAGTCGCCGAGGCCGGCATTGTCGGTGATGCGAGGGTACTTGACGCCGAACCAGCCGTCGTCGAGGACAAACAGCTTGACGCCGAGATCGGCAGACTCCTGGGCCAGGTGCAGAATCGTGGTGTCGTTGTAGTCGAACCCGAGGCCCTCCCAGCTGTTGAGCAGGACGGGGTGCATCTGAGTCGCAAACTTGCTCTTGATGAGATGCTTGCGGTAGAGACTGTGGAACTTTCTCGACATGCCGCCAACTCCCGTGTTTGAGAATACGGCAACAGCTTCAGGGGTAGTAAACGTCTCGCCCGGTGCAAGCGGCCAAGACAGCTGGTAGGGGTTGACACCAAGAGCAGCACGCGTAAGACCCTGAGAAGCCTTTTCAACTTCGACGGAGAACGAGCCGGTGTACACGAGAGAGAAGCCCCAAGCCTCACCCTGTGACTCGGTGGTTGAGGGCGTAATGAGCGAGAAGAACGGGTTGTGCAGATGGGAAGAATAGCCAGTCGTGCTCCCAAAGCTATGCTCGTGTCAGTAAACCCAGGAACACCGTATCCAAGTCCAAGTACAATCGAGCCTTACCCCTGAGTGCCGTAGTTGACGTGGCGACGCACTCGCATCCCCTCGCGAGCCCAGTCTCCCTTGAGCTCCAACATGTCCAGCTCTTCGTACGGCAGGTCGACACTCAAGCTGGCAAGCTTCTCAACGGTAATGTCCCCCTTGCCCTTGTTGGTGATGTTGACGCTGCGCACGACGGCATCGTACTTGGGGAAGATGGAGTACGTCAAGTCCGCCGCCACGGAGCTGTGGTTGTCGTACATGTGCACAACCAGCGTCGACACGTCGCCGGCATCGCCAAACGTCGACGGCAGGCCGTGCAGCGCGGGCTTGCCCTTGACCACGTTATGCGACAGGTACTTGAACTCGCTGACCGTGTAGCCCGCCGCCTGCTTGATGTGCACCGCCGGAGTGCGAAAGTCGCCGCGGCCCAGGTCCGGGAACTCGCGGCGCTGCCGGCCGATGAGGTCGACCCAGCCCTGGATGGGGCCAATGATGGGAGGGAAGACGCCGTCCTCGGTGGCAGGGCCGCCAAAGTGGTCGCCGATGAGGTCGCTCGAGTCCTCGTCGACGTGGAAGCGGTACGAGACGTTGTCTCCGTTGAGAGCGAAGGATTTGCCAGAGACGGAGATGGCTACATTGTTATCCAACCGTGTTAGTTACATGGTCACTGACGCAAGTTCGAGTCGAGAGAAGGGGACTGAGGCAAGGCAAAGGATACCCACGACTTGCTGCGTTGACCGAGGCCACCAATCCCGCAGCCACTGCGAAAACGGCCGCCAGCCGGCTTGGAGAAGGAGAGCCAAGCATCGTCAAGTCCAGTCGATCCAATACCAATCCCAGAGCTCAGGGCCAAGCTGTGACTGTGCCGGAACAAGTTGAGGTCACCGCCTTGGATCCTCGACTCAACTCGAGGGGCAACAGCCAGACACGGACATCTTATTTATACTCGTCCCCCGTTGTCGGGACACGTTGACCCATCAACTGAGATCCGGCCCAGCCCCCCGGTTACTGATCAGCAACTCTCCTTCCGCAGTCATCAATGGCACGATGGATCTGCCTTCGTGTCTCCCGCTCTTTCTCCTCATGCTGGTGCCTCGTCTTACTCGTCATGCTTCATCCTGGGACTCGACCCGGGCCATTCACTCAGCCACGGTCCCACCGCATGCACCCAAGCTTCTTCAAATGCCTGACTTTCATGCTCGTCTCTCCACAGACCCCAACCAACGGCCCTCCGGCTTCCCTCTTGCGCACCAATCTCATCGTCTCCAGCTTCTCCGGAGCCCGCAAGACTCCAATCCCCTGCGTATGAGGTCATCGGAGCGGCCGAAGCAAGATGCGGGGAGCTGCCGTTGGACGGAGCTCCAGGACTCCGGACTACAGGTTGTGCTTCCCCATAAAACGAGGGCCGATGTGACTCTATCTGGGTGACGATCGACAGTTTTTGCGAGTGGGCATGGTGGAGGGTTGTCATGGGGGAACCCGAATAAATACCCGACGGGAAGGAAGGTGAGATGAAGATCGGTTGATTTTTGTTTTTGTTTTTGTATTTGTTTTTGTGGAATTGGAATTGAGCAAGGTTTCCGAGTAGAGAGTTGTGGCGGGTTGAAGGTTTGATTGAAGTTGGTGAGATGCGGTTGCGGGGGGTTACAAGCACATGCGGTGATGCTTTGTGCAAAGTACTACCCGAGGTCAAACTTGCAAAAGCATCCAGACACTCGTTGTAATAAGAAGAATTCACAGGATCATAATTTCTTCGGGAAATAATTTGTCTGAAATCATCCGTTTCCGCTTCACATGCGCATGTACACGTCGGCAGACTGACGGACTCCACCGTCAGCCGCCGTGTGCACATGTATGACCGTGTAATTGACGAAAGTCATTGAATGCAAAATAATATAAATCACTCGCTCTATATGTACAAGAGACTGTTCACTTCCGTCAAAGCCAATCTGATACTGATCTGCCTTGTATGACTCGTATGATTAATCTACCCATCACCTCAACCGCGTACCTTGACAATCATGCAAACAAGATGCAATGCAACACAAGATGGGAGGTCGCGGTGATGGCCTACGCTGTTTGCAGTAGTGATCTACTCAAACATAGAGCTGAACATTTCCATTGGCTGCTAGACATCTCGATAACAAAACATGGCAATCAGCACAGCCATGAATCCGGATGCCTAGGAATCCCCCTATAATCCCATGCATGAAGAGATGAACAAGACGATGGAATAAGAAGCGATCGGAAGCATCGGCTCCATGATGTCACGAATTATGATTTCCATAAACGATAAAAGGAAACGGCACTCTTGATTGACTTTCAAAAATAATGGAGGCTTGAGCCATCAAATGTACATATGGAGTATAAGCGACTTGGAATGCAAGTCAAACTTTCTCCGCTTCCGCCATCATCCAGACGCATTAGTGACAGGAAATAAAGAAGAGCTATAAATAAGAGCAAAAGTCTTTGTAATTTACACAAGAAATACTCTGCTAGGTTCCATCAGGCGACCAGATGACCGACGAAAAAGACAACTCCGACAGCGACTGGGAACATTTACAAACCATGTCTGAAGAGACACCCTCGACAGAAAATGGCGATGACATCGAGAATGGGATTGATGAATCTGGCAATAATCATGATGAAAAAGAAGAGGGCGAACCACGCCAGGAAGAAAATGCCAAAGTAGAAGACGAAACACCACCCGCGGACACTGCCAAGGCAGATGAGGATAAGCCACCTCAAGATGACTCTTCTAAAACAGAAGAGGATACCTCGCCTCAAGAAAATCCTATCAAAGAAGAAGAAACACCCCCTCATGACAGCGCTGTCAAAGATGAAGACGGTGAACCATCTCACGACGACTCTGACAAAGAAGAAGAAAGCGAGCCACCCGAGGATGATCGCGTCAAAGCAAAACAATCTGCCACTCCCCCGGAAAACCATCCAATCCCGGGCAAATCATTCATGATTCAAACCAGAAACAAGCCAAACCTCATCCTCGCCCTCAAATATGGAAAGCTGGTATGGCTAGAGACACCCATCCCAAGCGGTGGCCACATCTGGCGCTGTGTCGAAAAGGACGGCTGGTTAGGCTTTCGCAATATGGCCTCTGGCACGTACCTCGGCCATAATAAGGAAGGCAAAATTGTAGCGACGCAGAAGGAACATAAAGAACAACAGCGGTTCACTGAAAGGAGGAGGGAGAATGGCGGGTATATGCTATCTGTTCTCCAGGAGGCGGCGCTGTTAGGAGTGGCTTTCTCGGAGGATGGGAAGAAGTCTTTGGTGTTACAGAAAGGTGAGGGGGAGGCTTTGGATTTCATCGATTCCAAGTACTTGGACAGTCCTGTGTCCCTCAAGTATCCCAACATGCCGCCACAGAAGCTGCGATAAGACTTCTAAGGTACCTACTGTAGTAGTAATATGTGCTGATAACAAAATGTACCTCAAAAGAGTCAATACCTGCCAAGAACTTCCTAGTGGTTTTGAAGAGAAAGTAAAAGGGAAAACAACGTGGCCGTGAGATAGTTGTCAATCTGTAGATGTGGAAACAGCCATCGCCTCCATGATATCACAAACTATTGCTTTTATGTATCATAGAAGGCAATGGTTCCATTCATCCTGATATTAAAATGGACGGGACTGGACCTCCTGATCCGATTCCCCAAGTTCTGCCTTGTATACATGTACATAACCTGGCCCCACGGTCTGTCGTCACTCAGCCCCAACTCACCGACGCTTTTCGCAGTGTTTGAATGCTTCAACTCTCACGACTCTAGTATTTCGATGAAACAGTCAGCCTATCTGGGTCTGTCGATGGAGCCATTGGACTATAAATCGCAGGCTTGAAGCTTATGTGGTGCTTTGACCCTGTTGTTCGGGCCTTTTTGCGCGCTTTGAGTTTATTCTTGAGCCTTTATCAGTCATGGGTACATGTACTTTATGGTATGGATCTCCAAGGATTGATTCTGTACTTTGAACTAAAAGTCGGGCCGTATCCTTGTACTGACCCAATCATTATAGTTGAGGTTTACTGACCCTCTTATCTTGGTTATATATAACCCCCATAGTTCGAGCACCGGGTTGGAAAGCAAGTGAATCCTCCCACGCACTCGGCCATTCATCATCATCGAGGCTCGTCAGTAAAACAAGGCGCCCGAGGAAAATCATACATCGAACGGCAAAGTTGGTCGAATCCCTCCAAGACTACATTCAGCAATTTCCATCAGACAACCAGATGGCCGACGAAACGAACGACTCAGACTTTGTCTGTATAGACACTGCCAGCTCTACTACAGAAGACCGCCCAACGCCTTCAACCGTCATGTCGGGAGACGCGCCCGCAAACGAGAAAAGGGATGAAGCTCTCAAAGAAAGGAACTCTTCGTCTGACAGCAACGTTAAAGAAACAAAAGAGATCAACCAATCTCACGACAATCTCGCTCGCCACATTGAGCATCATCCCATCCCGGGCAGGATATACATAATCCGAACCAGACAAGAGCCACGCCGCGTCCTCAGCGTACGATACGGATCGCTGATACTATTGCGTACCCCCAAGCTTGGCGACGGGGTTCTCTGGTACTGTCTTGAGAAACGCAACTGGTACAGCTTTTATAACAGAGCCTCTGGTGCATCCCTTGGCTACAGCGGAACACCAGGTAGAATGGCGGCGTTGAGTCAAGTCTTTCATGAAGCACAGCAATGCCTCATGCCAATTAGGCAAGAAGGTGGCGGGTATATCCTACATACACTTCACCCTGAGACAGGGGAGCTATGGCAAGTGGCGGTCGAGGAGAATGAGTATGGAGGTCGTTTATTTGAAACAAAGGCGGAGGGTACGGCCTTGGATTTCATTGATACCAAGTATCTGCGCTCTTCTATATCACTTGCGCTTCCCAATATGGAAGAAGAGATACTGTTCAAGCAAGAGTGATTTCTTATTAGGGGAAACAGACACATCTCAAAGAATACATGTGCTTTCAAGAGTCAGAACCTCACAGAGTAGTGCTAACAGGAGAATCGAGAATAATAAGAGAATGCGGCCGCGAGATTGTCGTTACTCTGCGGATATATGTATTGCGTGTCTGTATATGAAAAACGGCCAATATATCATGATATGTCATCAGCATGCCTTGTAGAAAGAAAGAAGAAAGAAAACGCCACTCTATGTATATGCATTTTCGACGTATAACAGGCATCAGGGGTATCTAGCTCTCAAGTTTTCCAGGTAGTTTCGGTATTGCTGCATAAGAGTCTGAATGCTCGAGTCAACAAACTTGGCCAGCTCGTCGGGGCTTCTGCCCCTCTCGACTCGCTCCAAATCCACGACGACGACTCTGCTCCCAACAACGTGGAAGTTGTCGAGCTTCACGTCATCCTGCACAAAGCCCCTCGACGCAAGCGCAGTGAGCGACTCGTACAGGAGCTTGCGAACAAGGGTATAAGCTTCTTCCGCCGTCTCGGTCGTGTAAGGGATGCACACTCCGCCAACGTCTGCCATGAGGTGGCTTCGCACCCCGGCAAAGTGCACGACGCCAAAGTGCCGCGGGATGACGGTTCCCTGGAGCGACTGCAGGCTGCGGTACGAGGCCAGCTCGTTGTCGAATTCCTCTTCCCAGTCGGGTTTCTGGGACTTTAGGACGATGGCCGACGGGAGGTACCACTCGGGGAACCATCGCCGCAGGTAGGCTTGTGCGAATTTCGGGAATAGGTAGAGAATGGCCTTGATGACTTGGTCCAACAGGGTCGACTGGATTTTTAAGCGGCGGACATTGGGATGATAGTTGTCGGCTGCCTGGCCGATGGCTGTGATGTGGCGGGAACGAAATCGAAAATGCTGTTCAAGAGAAGAAGAGAGTTAGCCAGACATGTCTAGAGGTTACTAGATATTAAAAAAGATGAAGAACTAACGACTGTTTCTACCGGCGCATTCCAGGGGATTTTTCTGCTAATGTGAAGCCCGGGGAGCAACGTGGACATTGCAAAACGAACGATTGACGCTTGCGGAGAAAAGAAAAGCAACAAAGAAAAAGGAACGAATACCCAGCGACCGAGCAATGGCCCAGGGATGAAAATCAGATGGAGGGAAAGATCTCTGCCTTGTGAGGGTTCAAGGAGCGGCACAGAGATCAAGGGCTGGAGATGCAGGCCAGAAGGAGGATGACAAAAGGCAAGGAGTGAGAAAGTGAGTGCATTGGAAATGGTGCTATTGATGGCCTGCATCTTGGGATAATTTTGGCGGAGGCAATTGGCGGTAGAGCCGCGGACCAATCAGCGGCCAAAGATGACCTAGCCAATTAAGTGGCCGCGTTATCGATAAGAGATGCGGGCCGGGCCGTCAAAACCAACAGAACAAATATTGGAGAGAAAATAGTGGATGAATTTGCTTGGGAGAATAAGTTATATATATGATATTGATGTTACATGCGTCGTTTCGTGAAAGGAAGTATTTCAGTGGGAGTACTTGAGTGGCTGTGATGCAAAGGGGAGGGATTGTTGATATGTATGCGGCATGCATGCATGAAGGCTGGTGTAGTATTACTGGCTGCAGGTGTAACTCAAAATGCAGCACGAGTAACGGATTGGCAATTGGTGAAGAACCACAAAATGGGAGCGAGTATCAGTGGTATTATAGTGTCCACCCAGTAGATGGACAATATATGCACTATTCTGGTGAGCACTATGCTTCTACAGCTAAAATAAGCGCTTAGGTCAACAGAGTTTGTTCGGCTTAGGGAATCAATAGGTAATCCTTATAAGTCAAATCCATAAAAAGATGCTCATAGTCATGTTGCATACCACAACCAACTCTTCGCCCCAGCGTGATCAATGTCCAATGGCCCCAAATTCATTCAATCAACCTTTTTTGTTATATATTCCCTTCAAAATGCCTACTCAAGTGAAAAATACCAAAAATTCGACTTCCTGACCTCGCTCCAGGGTAGCCCCGGACATGACTGTGGCCCGAATGATGTCACATCACGTGGGGCACTCTTGGCTCTTCAACACCAGCATCATGCCACTTGCAGCGCATCTCCTCGGAGCTCTACAGCCTCATCCGCCGCTGTCCCAATGAGCTGACCATACCAAACTCCCTCAATCGACCGACAAACCCCCCCAAGGCCCACGCAATTTCCGTCATGCTCCGTCCAACGACCCTCCGGCCGGTGCTCCGGTCTTCGCCCCGATGCCAGCAGTGCCTCCGCCGAAGCCTCTTCTCCGGCAAGGGCTCCTCGCGCGTCTCCCAGGACTTTGACCTGAACAAGCTCAATTCGCAGCGCCGCGACTATGAGCGCCATCGCACAATCTTCCTCGCCGCCGGAGCCACCGCCGGCATCATCTCGTTCGTCTACACTGCGTGGAAGCTGAAAAACGCCCTTGCGGAACAGAAAGACAAGCAAAAGGCAAAGGTGGCAGTGAAATGCGACGCCCCGCCGATTCCCACAGAGACGTTCAAGACCGAGGCCGGAGAGAAGAGGAAAATCGTCGTGCATGACGAAGACGGAAACGTCATTGTCCCTACGGGCAACAGCGTCGTCCCTGCGTTTCCAAGGACAATCGACGTCAAGCTGCCGACGGCGAGGGAGGACACTTCGATTGCGGCGAGCATCTCGGACAAGCACGGAAGCGAATACACTCTGGTGGGCTTGGGCGTGCGCACGGTGACGTTTATCGGCATCCAGGTCTACATGGTGGGATTCTACGTGGCGACGCAGGATATTGCGAAGCTGCAGAAGTACCTGGTCAAGAAGATCAACCCGGGCGCCACGACACTGATACCCGCCGAAAAGGATGCCTTGCGAAAGGCCCTCAAGGATGTGGCAGAGGGTGAGGAGACGTGGGACACCCTCCTGAGGGAAGCCGAGTGCCGCAGCGTGATGCGCATCATCCCGGTGCGAGATACCGATTTCCACCACCTCCGCGACGGATTCGTTCGATCCATTGCCGCGCGATCTCAGCGTGACAAGGCTTACAACGACGAGTCCTTTGGTGTCGCCATGAAGGACTTCAAGGCGCTCTTCAACCGAGGCTCGGTGCCGAAGAAGCAGGAGCTGCTCCTGTGCCGCGACGAAAAGGGCGTGCTGTCCGTCATGTTCAACTCGGGCCGAGGCAAGGATCCCAAGCGGGAGGTCATGGGCACGGTGGAGGACGAGAGGCTGTCGCGGCTGCTCTGGCTCAACTATCTGGCCGGCAGCAAGGTGGCGTCGGAGCCGGCGCGGGAGAGCATCATCGAGGGCGTCATGGAGTTTGTGGAGAGGCCGGTGGGAACGGTTGCGACGCAAGTCGTGTAGTATAGACGGCTGGGAATTGCCAATACTCGCCATTGTAGAAGCACTGATATATATATATCTTGTATAATAGTAAGCGGCGGAAGATGGATGTTGCGCCGCATCCCGATCTAACCTAGCAAAAAGAAAAACAACTCAATGAAGCCATATATGCATGTGATGGTAGATTTATATTCTTAATTTTTGATTTTTCGAAAAGACAACAATGGCAACTCTACTCGAGTCCAGAAAACATGGTTGAATTGCCTCGCCGAAGCATGGCCATCGCCATGTTTCTCTCCGTCTATTATATCTTGGATCTGTCGCCTCCTCTATCAACTCCCCAAAGAGCAAAGCGCAAAACAGCCCATCAGCCAAAACTGTTCTCTTTTTTATTTTTTTATTTTTACCTTCTCATCACCATCTTCCTCCTCCCTCCTCGCAAAGAAATGCTGGGAGCGCTTACGCATATGCGCCGGCCTCCTCGAGGCGGCTCTTGAGCACGCCGCGCTTGTCGAGCTCCTGCAGGTCCGAGTTTCCGCCGACGTGCTGCTGGGCGAAGAAGATGTTGGGGACGGAGCGCTGGCCGCTGATTTCGAGGAGGGCGTCTTGGAGGTCGTCGCCGTCGTCTGTTGGTGTTTGTTTGTTAGCATATGTGGTTTTCGTTGTAGAGGATAGGGAAGAAAAGAGGGAGAGAGGGAGAGAGAGACGTACTTCGGTTGTCCAACTCGACGACTTCGTATTGGGCCTTGAGCTCGTTCAGCTTCTGCTTGGTGGCCTTGCAGTAGGGGCACCAGGTCTTGGAGAAGACGACTATAGAGTTTCGAGCGGTTAGATTCGGGCTTGAAGACTAGAGAGAGGGAGAGATGCAGAAACTCACCAACATTGTTGGTGTCAATGATTCGCTGGACTTCCTTGACGTTGGCCATTGTGGCTTCGGGACTCAGTTTAACGGCAGATGTAAAAAAGGATCGGACAAAGTTCATTTGATGTCAACAGGTTTGGGATGCTTTAAAAAGTCGGGAGTGAGGAGGAGGGTCCGTCTATATCTATATATGCAATACGATGCCGTGTGGTTGGGGGATTGGGATTGGGATTATGATTATGCGGGCAACTTTGGTGAGATTTACCACAACCCGGCAAAATGACGAAGCCGCCCGAAGCAGCCACTGCTTGCATCAGATCAGTCAGCCGGGAGGGGCAACGCCGGGGGGGTCCAAAAGGTATTTGTCAAATAACTAATAACTAATCGGGATGTGGACTAGAGAGTTGATTCCAAAGCAACGCAGAAGAGGCCAGGGCGGGTGTGTGATTGGAGGAGAGGGTGGTGATGGTTCCTCTTTTTTCTTGCTTTCTTTCTCTTTGGGCTGTTGGGCGTTGCTGGTGGAGGTACATGTACTTGATACTGCCAGAGTAGAGAGGCGACAACTGTATTAGTACCTTACCTATATTGACTGTTGTATGAAGAACTTGTGCTCTGTATGTGATTCAAGATTCAACTGAATCCCATCTCGGGTTACTCATCAGATTCACCTCGATGGTTGAAATCCTTCGTGCGTCGGCAATTCGGGGTCCTCGATGCCCATTTCCCAGATAGGACATTGCCAACCGTGGCAATTTGGTGGGCTTATCTTTCGCCTCGGTCGAATTCGGTCGACCTGTTGGCAAACCAAAGAGCGGCATATACTTGTATAATCCCATCGTCGATTACTTCAGCTGAAATCAATTGAAATAAATAAATATTCCATGTTTGTATGTTTCATTCTTAGTCATTGCGCGACCGTGCATGTCGCATCACCCAACTGCTGCCACCCAGGAAAAGTCTGTATAGCATCGCCCAATTATCCACCAGACATCAAACGCTGCCGAATCCGCAAAACGACCATTCCTCATGCATCAACGTCCTGATATTGTCATTCCTTCATAAATAAATAAAAACTCCAATCATCATCATTCGAAAATCTTCTTCCACACCCACAAGCTCGTGTGGTCCGTAAACTGCTTGAAGCCCTCAACTCCCCATTCCCTCCCCAATCCGCTCTCCTTGGTGCCTCCAAACGGGACGTTGGGCGCCACGTCAAAGTGCGAATTCACCCAGACGCTGCCGGCGCTCAACTGTCGCGCCAACCTCTCCGCGCGCGCCAGGTCTTTACCCCAGACCGATGCGCCGAGGCCGATATCCAGCGAGTTCGCCCGCTCAACCACTTGGTCGTCTGAAGACCACTTGAGGAGCGGCACGATGGGGCCGAACGGCTCCTCGAGGACGATGCGGGAGTCGTCGGGAGGGTTGTCGACGATGGCGGGCTCGGCGAAGTAGCCGGTGGCCGAGTCGAGCACCTTGCCGTCGAGAGCTACCTTGTATCCCGACGTCTTGACGTCCTGGTAGATGCCCTTGACCAAGTCAAACCTAGAAAGAGTTCAAAGAGGTAAGCAATTGTAAACCTTGAATAGGGGGGGTGGAGGATATTAAGAAGAGTTCGCGTAGGCCACTTACTGCATCTTGTTTTGGATGGGTCCAACCAAAACGCCCGGCTCAAACCCGCCTCCCGTCTTGACATTCTCCTTGGTAAACTCGACCAAGGCGTCTCTGAACTTGTCGTATATCTTTTCGTGAACAAAGATTCGCTTCGCCAGCATGCAAATCTGCCCCGAGTTGATAAAGGTCATGGTGGCAATCTTGGGCAAGCATTTAGGAATGTCGACGTCCTCGCACACGATGAGGGCGTCGTTGCCACCGAGCTCGAGAACGCACCGCTTCAGCGTCCTGGAGCAGCTCGCAGCAACAAGCTTGCCGGTGCGGACAGAGCCAGTAAACGTGATGAGCCTGATGTCGGGGTGGTCCGTCATCCAGGGGCCGAGAGCATCATCGCCGCTGAGAGCTTGGAAGACGCCCGGCGGGAAGATGGACATGCCGAGCTCGCACAGCTTCAGGTCGGTGTACGGACTAAACGGCGACGGCTTCATGATGATGGTGTTTCCCGTCATCAGCGCAGGCCCGACCTTGCCCAGGCCGAGGAGGGCAGGCCAGTTCCAAGGCACGATGGCGCCGCACACGCCCAGCGGCCGGTGCGTGGCGTATACGGTGCGCTCGTCGTTTTCTTCCAAGATCTCGTCCTTGAGGTCCATGGCGGCAAATGCCCGAAGCCATTGGATCACCATGTCAAACTCCGTCTTGGAGACGAGGGCAGGCTTTCCCGTCTCCATCGTGTCCAGCTTCTCGAGCTCTTCGCGGTTGGCCTCTATGGCGTCTGCGTAGGCCAGCATAAGCTCGGATCTCTCCTGGAAGGTTGTCTGCGACCAAGTCTTGAATGCATTCTTGGCGTGTTTGACGGCGACGTCGAGGTCCTCTTTGGTTGCGAATGGGGCGGGCCACAGCGGCTTTTCGGTGGCTGGGTCTATTGTGTTCCGTGTCTTTGCTGTTGGCACGAATTTGCCGTTGATGATGTTGCCTGGGTATGACTATGTGTGTACGTGAGTTGCCAGTCAGTCAACTAACGAGGATTTAGATGCGATGTATGGATTGTTCAACAAAACACACCTGGATGTCAACTGTTGGTTTTGAAACGACGGCCATCTTGAAGAGCCTTGTGCAACGCTGCTAACTGCAAGATATCTCTGTGATGAGTGACACTCCCAAGTCTTGCTCGATGGCCACGACATGAGCCGTTTATATAGCCGTTCCTCAGCTATGCTAGTGGGATGCTACCAGACACACATGCAACAGAGCAACAACGGATCTTGTCCAGCCCGAGGCCCGCTTGTGTGCGAATCTTGTCCCATCTCCTCCCCGATCCTGTGTCATCATCCCTGTCTAAAGCCACAACCATTCCGTACTATTGCATGCTTGGCATCAAGCCTGGTATTCGTACAGTGCTGAATTTCAGCCCCAGTTACCTACTTCGAGTTGATATCACAAGTGTGAACGGAACTTTCATCTCGTCAAGCACAAGTTCCTCGAGTCATGACGCAAAGGATGCGGGCGTTTAGGGGGCATCTCCGAAGCCCTTGATAGCTCGCTGATAACGACGGCTGTATTCAGAGTCGGATATGCCCCCAACATGACCTTGCATGCTCGACGGGGGTAGGTCATGTAGACGTCGTATCGCTTCGCATAGCCCCTGGAGACTGGCAACCAACCAACCAACCCCACGAAAAGTGCATGTCCACGCATCTCATCGACACAGTGTCCCAGGTTCGGCTACCGTCTCATTGCCGATATCAGTGTCCGTTGAAGCAGCCACTGGCATCTCCCCTAGTACGTACATGTAGGTGCTACTGGAGTTACGAGGTCGATTAGAGCCGTATGGAGACAAGCGCATGGGATCGAGGGCACGGAGACAATGAGCGGCAGATGTGCCACAGCCTATAGGCGGATTCAGGTTCAAAGGTTTGGAATTATGCACGCGGGAGGCTTTGGGGTCCAGAGGCTAGTTGGCCAGCTATTTCGCGGGGAACCTGGGCGTCTTGTCTGTTTTGAGTCTAGATGCCACCGTTAGATTGGAGATGGTTGTTGGGCATGATGACTAGGAACGCGAGTCGAACATGGACAGTTGGTAATTCTAGAGGCTATTATTGGCGGTCCTCCGTCAGTTGATTCGGGAGTGGTTTTCGGCTGCTGGGGATGAGTCGACCTGAATGACAAATTCTAAAGTCCGCGGCGATGAGTTGAAGTTGTGCGCCTGAATGTGAATGTGCAGGCTTGATCTATAGAAGGCTGAAGCTAGATGAAGAGTCGGAAGAGCGTCTGGGAGGAGTTCGGACACGGTCCAGCAGATTCAGCTATAACTACATATCTAGTAGGTATCTAGCCCTGTAATTCGGCATACCAGGATTGAGGGGAGTCGGAATTGGACCTGAAGGATCGTTTCCGGCCCCAGTCAGTCAGCGTCAGTTGTGGTTGGAGAGCAGAGAGTTGCACGGTGAAGAGATGAGAGACGGAACAGAGACGGAAACTAAAGACGGAATGGAGACGGAATATATCCATTGTTTGTCATTTCATAGGTACTAGGTTATTGCAACTGCTTATGTTGTCTTGTCGTCAATACATTTCATTATCGTGGACGCTTAAAGGCACTTGGCCTTACAATGATGCCTCGCTTTTGTTGATGTTTAGCCAATATCACAACCACGAGTAAACATGTCAACAATTAGTGATTTATGGGCTGAACATGGGGTAAACGGGCTCATATGTCTGCTTACTACCAGGTACTCAAGACATATTGACTCATTTCCCGGTTGCTGTAGATGCACTGGATGCCAGTTCCAAGCCAACACCATGGACTCAATATCGTGGATGAGGCCTACGGGTAGAGAGAGATCCAATACACGCGGACAGAGTTACAGCGCCCACAGCGCCTCTAGTCAACTCGAGCCCACTAAACTGCCGCTACACAGGGGACCCAGGCCCCGCCAGTTCCCCAGTCGCCGCTAAAGAGTTTGAAACATTGGGAACATGGAACCTTAGTAGGTTAGTAAAGAAAAAGAGAGAAACAAAACTTGACACATTGTCACCAGTCCCAAAGAGCAAAGAGCCTCACATCCCCATATTTCTCGTCCGTCCATCTCAATCTCGTCCGCATCGCTGGTTTGACGCAAACCGCCTGGCCTTGCCCGAATCCAGCCGCAAATCACCAGCCACCGTCGCGAAGCTGCGCTGTCTTTCTTTGCCTCGTGCTGCCTCGTGCTGTGCGAATCGAGTCCCATCGAACACAGCCAACCAGACCACGCTCATTCACCGCAAACCGCCAACCAAAAGAATCAGCTGAGCCTCGCTCGTTCGTTCATTGTCGCCCCAGCCATCCAGTCCAGAAGATACAGCTGCTAGACTCGCGCTCCTTCGGCCAGCTCCGCGATCGTCGCCTTCTGTGGGCAATCCACTGCGACTTGCTCCTCCATCCACAGCCAACCAATCCGCTAAGCCTCGCTCGAGATTATTCGCCAGCCCCGGCCCAAGCGGTTTTTTGCTCAGCCTTGCTCTTCACCCCCCACGACCCCGCCATCTTCTTGTTCCGCAGAACAAGCATTGAGCATCCAGAGAGAGGCGGAAGAGAGAAAGAGAGAAGAATCTCAGACAAATAGCCGGCCTTGTCTTCCTTCTCCCCTTCTCCCTTCTTCTTCCTCCCCGCTAAGGTGTCCTCAGCCAGGGCCACCTTGATACCCAAGATCGCCAAGGTGGATTCCGACCAGCCCATCGTGGCATCTTCCGGTGCCCTGCAACACATCATCCCCTACATCAACGGCACCCTCACGAATCTCAACGCCGCCTTTCAAGAGTCGAGCGAGTACATCTCGGGGACCCTGGGCGTCCCGCCCACCTTTGTCTACAGCGGCCTCGCTGCCCTTGTGGCCCTACCCATCACCATGTCGCGATACGGATGGTCGCTCAGCCGCGAGCAGAGCTTCGGCGCCATGTCGGGCGGCGTTCCAGACGTCACAAACGAAGACTTTAGCTACATCACCGCCCAGGACCTGGACGACCCTCGAGTCGAGTACACCGACACCCGCCACTATCCTCCTCGACCGCGCTCCAGGGGACCCTCAGAGCCCGAAGACGACATCCTGCTGATTAAGAACAGAGGTGTTACTTATCCGGCTCACTTCCCCGCCTACTCGATTGGTGATGGCAAGCTGTACGTCAAGGATGTGCGTGACCGTATCGGCCTCCTGATGGATCTGTCGTCGCGCACAACACGCCGAGTCAAACTGCTTTATAAGGGAAAGCAGCTCAAGGAGTCCATGTATCCCGTCCGAGAATATGGCGTCAAGAACAAGAGCGAACTCATGGCTGTCATCCCCGACGCCGAGGACGACAACAGCGGCCGATCGGATGACGAAATGATTATCGTGGACGAGCCGCGAACCGAGACCAAATCCTCAAAGTCGAAGGGCAAGAAGAAGAAGGGCAAGAAGAGGTCTGACAAGAGCGAGGCCACATCCCCCACCAGCCCCGTTGACAGCGGCTCAAACGCCGATGCGGCTAATGGAGTCTCGCCCGCGGCCATCAGTGCCGCTATGAAGAAGCTGGACGACATCTCTGACGACTTCCACACCAACTGGCTGCCGCTGTGCCGTAACTATATCGAGTCGCCCCCCAAGGATGCCAAGAAGCGAGACGAGGAGCACAGGAAGCTGTCTGAATCCGTCATGCAGCAAATCATCTTGAAGCTGGACGGCGTGGAGACGGAGGGCGTGGATGACATTCGTCAGAGACGAAAGGACCTTGTCCGACGAGTCCAAGAGGTGCTCAAGCAGCTGGATACCGCCAAGGCATCATGATGCAGCGTGCCGCATATTGTTTTCCTTTCTTTTCCTCCTGTTGCGTTCAACGGAGTCTTATTTCCATTCATCTTACTTGGGCCGTGTTTTGTCTTTTCATCTTTGACACAGGATATCCATCACTCCCCTCCTTGCGCGTTTCTATAAACACACTCTTACAAAAAATATTGGGCACTGAGGCATACTGGGGGTACATGGTTTTTACAAAAGAGACGGCTGGCGGAACGAGGGCTGGGGACGGCCATGACGAAGCAGCTTGATCCATGAGCGATATAGACCTTTTTTCGCATTTGCGCACTTCTTACAAATACTACTAGAAAAGAGATGCTACATACTATGGAATGGAGCTGGGAGGGGGCGGTTGGTTGGCCGTTGGGGTGGCACAACACAACACAGCACCTACATACACAGAGTAGAAGGGTGTTTTTTGATAGATTGACGATGATGCATGGCGATATAAAGGGTTTGCTGTCTATTCTATTAATACGAGCCGAAAGCCAAATGCATGTTTTTTTTTTTTTAAACAATTGACTGTTGAGGACTTATCAATTACTAGGGTATATCAGTTCTTTTGGTCTCTTAGTTGGGTACTTTAGGGCAAAACGATGACTGATATCATCGTTCTCCGTCTTGATCTTCACATGGTGCACGCAGCAAATGGTACGTACCTAACCTTATCTTTCCATCTTTCATCATTGCTGCATCCCACTTGAAATCACGTGCAATCTCCATATCGCGTTAGTACCTATGACACTGCTATCACCAACCAAAACAAGCACAGCGAGAGAAAAAAAAAACCAACTACCTACCCGATAAGCCCCGGCAAATTATCGGCTCAGATTCTAGGTCTCGCAGCCCTAAGCACCACCAACCCGTGAGCCCTTCCTCGCCTGCCCCGGAACCCACCCTTGCCCAATCCGGCTAGCCCTGCTGTTCCAAAGGCACAACGAGCCCCAAGCGGCACTGCGATTTTCTCGCCGTTCCAATCTGTATCGCGACCACTTCATCAACAACCAAGGGACGACTAACCCACAAGCAGCACAGCAACAAATTCTCCTGAGGTCGGAGGGTTTGTGTGTTTTCGTCGTCTGTCTTCTTCATCTCTTTTTCTTTCCACCCCCCCGAAAGAACCGGTACGATGTCGTCGTTCGAGTCGGTTGTGAGTATTCACCGTTGAACCACCACATGCACATGTCTTTTTCGCCTGGGATCCGAATGTTTGTGGAGTGCCAGACAAGGGAAGAGGAAGGGAGACAAAGGACAGAGACAGAGCACATTGGACGCCAGCGCACATGGCAAAGCAGTCGAGAGGAGCTTGGGATTGAGTGCTGGGAGATGGACGTGATTGCTGTTCTTGTTCATATGCGCTGGTGGCAATTGATGCTGCTTGCTGCTGCTTTCGAGCCTCTTCTCTTGCTTTGGCTGGCACATACCCGACGCGGACAATTGGCGATGGGGGGAAGAGACAGACTGGGAACACATTGTGCAAGATGGATGCTAACCGTGTCGCTTTTCTAGGTCGTCATTGACGGCAAGGGCCACCTCCTAGGTCGTCTCGCCTCCATCGTCGCCAAGCAGCTCCTCAACGGTCAGAAGATCGTCATCGTCCGCTGCGAGGCCCTCAACATCTCTGGCGAGTTCTTCCGCGCCAAGCGTACGTCACGTCCCCTGCCATCCGCCGAATCTGCTGCGAGCCCATCTCTCATCGATCTTGAGAGCCAGCAATCGCCAGAGTCGACGAAGAAGACGAGAATGAGAATATACTGACATTTGGAAACAGTCAAGTACCACGCCTACCTGCGCAAGATGACCCGATACAACCCCACTCGCGGTGGTGAGTTTGCGCGACCCCAACGCCTCCCGATTGTCGTGTTGTCAGGATATTAACGACGTCTTTTTTCCTCTCCAGGTCCCTTCCACTTCCGCGCTCCCTCCAGAATCTTCTACAAGGCCGTCCGTGGTATGATCCCCCACAAGACCGCCCGCGGTGCCGCCGCTCTGGAGCGCCTCAAGGTCTTCGAGGGTGTCCCTCCCCCCTACGATAAGAAGAAGAAGATGGTCGTTCCCCAGGCTCTCCGTGTCCTGAGACTGCAGCCCGGTCGCAAGTACTGCACCGTTGGCCGTCTGAGCCACGAGGTCGGCTGGAAGTACCAGGATGTTGTTGCCCGGTATGTTATTGTCACGCTCCTCTTTTTGCTCTTTTTCCAGATGTCGGGATCGAAATGGCTGACGTATTCAATCACAGGTTGGAGGAGAGGCGGAAGGCCAAGGGCGCTGCCTACTACGAGCGCAAGAAGGTTGCTGCACGACAACTGTCCGACGCGAAGAAGAACGCCTCTGTCAAGGAGGAGACTGCGAAGGCCCTCGCGGCTTATGGCTACTAAGCTGGCCATTCCTCGGCTCCTCGCGGGGGAGCCTTGGTACTTCGCATTGTCTTTTTCTCGTGCGTTTCATTAGATTGGCGCGGCGGTTCACAAAGGAATTACACTTGATTTGCTGAGTGATGGCGAGGGCGGCGGCTTTTTTGGGGGGGCGGATGGGAAACTCTTTTCTCCAATTATTTCCTTCATGAAAATTCTCTTTGTCAATCGGAACCCAGAAATCCATCCCACAGAAAAAAATAAAGCACAAGGAAACCCCCAACAATCAGCACGAAAAAGAAATGATCCTGGCATCGAGATTTTTCTCCTTTCGTGAGGGTGACAGCGGATGGACTTGGTTGCGACGTTGTAATGTGGTTCTTTGCGTTTTCTTCTCGGTCTGGTTTGCGCACATTTGGGATTTGGAATGTCGGTCATGGGCTTGGGGAAGGGATGTTCTTTTGTTTCCGGCCTCGCGAATGGCTTCGCACTGCTCAAGGACGCTATTCCCGGCTTATTGCGGAACAACAAAAAAGTGAGTCGGCGACAGGAATTGGGGGGACGTGGGAGAGGATGGGCAAGTGATGATCATACCCTTCCTCTTGAGCAAAAGAGGTGTCTAGCATTGCACAAATACTAGGAGTAGACGGAATGATAAATGCTTTTGAACAATTAATGATTTATAATGTGAATCTTGCTTCCACTCGCGCTTGGCTTGTTGTGTGATTTGTATGCTACATTTTTGTAGATTTTGCTATTAAATCTGTGTTGCCTACTTAGTAATTTGGTGCTGTTATTTCATGCTTGCTTCTATCTTATTTGATAGATTGTATTTCCATTGAATATCTCACATATCTTTTAGCCAACTTATACTGAGACGTAAATTCGGATCTACTAAATACTCACAATTCCCATCTCCCATCGTTTTATATCTTTCTATATAGCTGTCAACCTACGCAATCCTTCACTCACATGCAGTAATCTTCCAAACAGAACAACCTCCCCCCTTCCTCTCGTGTCCGTCAAAACTTTAATCATGTTGAAAATACCATTTCTGGCAATTCATTTCAGGGTAAGCAAAGCTGTAAAGTTTGACGGGACTTGCAGATTAGCGCCCGTCTCGCCTAGAATCCCCCACAGTCATGTGTTGATAAGATAAGCACCTTTTTTTGTGGTTCAGCGAGAGGTGTCCTCACTGGACATTGACATGCCTTGGACTTTTGTGTTATTCATGAAGCAGCCTCTCTCTCTTTTGACTTGAGCACCATTCCGCCCTTTGTACAAGATTGTTGGGCGCAAGTCACTCTTGTATTTTGTTGATTACTAGCATCTAGACATACACTCAATCACTGCACATTACAGACCAATCCGAGTAGTAATTGCACGAGGCGCAAACACCTCGAATCCTCAATCTCGAACTACCACATCACCGTCTTTCCACATTCCTCCCAAAACCGCAACCATGTCGGACCTCGACCACTTCAGCATGCTCCCCATCCACATGGACCCCCAGTCCAAGGCCATCCTCCCCTCCGGCAGCAGGCCGTCGCGCGCCCTCGCCGCCGAGCTGGAGAAGCTCAACAACCTGCACCGCGCCATCCTCAACATCGAGGTTCCCCCCGGCGCGATCCCGCTCGTCCCTCCTCCGCCGATCCCTGTCAACCCGAAGCGCACCGCCAACGTCTCCAAGCTGCGCGACAGCGGCAACACCGAGTACCGCAAGCAAAAGTACGCAGAGGCCGTCAAGTTTTACACCCAGGGCATCGAGATGGCGCTGCAGCGGCCCCTCTGGGAGCCCGCGGCGCTGGTAAGGGAGGAGGTGTCCATGCTGTATGCCAACCGCGCGCAGTCGCACATGGCCATGGGTAACTGGCCCGAGGGCGCGGTCGATGCGGAATCCAGCGTCGAGGCGAGGAGGGTCGGCAATGCGAAGGGGTGGTGGCGTAGGGGCCGGTGCTTGACGGAGATGGGGAGGCTGGATGAGGCGCGCGAGTGGGTCAAGAGAGCGTTGGAGATGGAGGGCGAGGAGGCCGACTTGGTGACGCTGCTCAAGGACATTGAGGAGAGGATTGAAAAGTCGCGGGCGTAGAGTGTCCCGGCTTTGAAGTCGAGGGGGAAGAAGGGGAGGGGGAAGAAGGCGCGCGCTCAACGGGGACGGAGTGGGAGTGAAGTGAAGTGAGATGAAGCAGCATTTCGGGTCATTGAGCGTTGAGGATGGGCTGGTTGTACGTTTAGACGTGTGGTCGAAGCAAGGGATGGCGTTGGGAGCACATTGTATGTAGTATCTGATTTGGTACCGCAGTGATTTGAGGTATCTGGTATTTGGAATCTGTTTCACGCATTGTTGCTGTTTGTCCATCTTGCCTGTCTGTTTGTGATTGGGCTACTGGGTACGTGGAGCTCCAATTACCATAATCTGCCTACCTATTCTACCTATTCTTGTTCCTTGATACAGACTTTATTATGCCACTACCATCAGTCACACATCAAATAGCCACCAAAGGAAGGCAAAAAAAGATCGGGACATTGTCATGAAAAGCGCCAAACGATCATCCTGATACAACCACCTATATCGTAGTAGGTTGTCCTACCACGGCAAATTAGTTCCAGCATGTCCAAAGCCGAGTCCTAGTCGCACAACCCAATCGAGGGAAAATCTGTCCGTTCACATCTCTCCCCCCCTTGCATATCACGAAACAAAAGAAAACAAACACGTCACTTTTGTGGGAAGCACACGGCAAATTGGCAATAAAAAAAGGCAGTTTTCTTCCGGCGCTATGGTTCAAAACAACAACAACAGCAATGGACCCAGTTTCTTCTTTCCTAGCAGAGAGACGTTGGAACGAACAGTAAAGAGATGAATATAGTATAACTCCTCCGTAGCTGTGTGTAGTATATTGCGTGGTTCGCGCGTCGCCGTCGTCTTCTTTAACCGCTGTTATCCGTTCCGCAAAAACAAAGTTGCCGCTCTTTTTTCCGCGCAAAAAATATGAACTAGGAAAACACAACAAGGGAGATAGCATATGAGATTTAAGACCACCAAAGATTGGAAAAAGTTCATGTAGCAATGGGGGGAGGACCGAGTTTATTCGTGTGATGCAAAGGGGGGGTATATTGTGAATTTCAGATTTTGTCTTGTCTTGTCTTTATCGTCTGAGCGTATCGTGAATGAAATGCCGTTTGGTGGACTGGACTCTTTTCCTCTTTTTTTTTTTGTTGTCTAATGAATTCCGCGAAATGTGCGAAGAAAAAGGGCGTCCAGCCGAGGTGCCCCTTTGTTTTCCCCCGATGATGCGAGTTTTGATACAAACAGTCAGCGCTGTTTACTGAGTCCCAAATCGCAAGACGGCGAATCGATGGACGATTTGAAAAAGCGCCCCCCTCTTCTGAGGCACCCCGAGGTAGTAGGAGAGAGTTACAGCAACAGCGCCGACAGAGAGAAAAAAAAACCACTTCATGAGCGAGCTTTAAGAGAACAATTGACCGGGTTGAATTTACTGGGCGGCCTTTTCGTTGTAGGTCTTCTCGACGGCAGAGGTGGTCTTCCTCCGGGGTCGCATGACGGCGTCCTGGCTGCTCATGCGCCTGTCGAGGGCGCGCTCCAGCTTTGCGCCGAGGGCGAGCTTGCTCATCCTCTCGTACTTTTCCTCGGACAGGGTGACGCGCTGGGAGGAGAGGGCCTTGTTCTCCATGCGGTCGAGGCCGGTGGCGATCTCGCGGATCTCGGCGTGCTGGGAGTCGGTGGTCTGGACGGACATGGCCACCGAGGGGGCGGCCATGCTGTAGGCGCTGTAGCGGAGGGAAGCGCGGTTCTGCAGGTGTTTGAACATTTTCTGGTTAGTTTGGTGGGAAAGAGATGTATTATTGAGTAAGAAAGCGGCAAAGAGAGAGGGAGAGGAGGAGGGAGAAGAAGAAGAGAGGCGGGAGTATATCGCCAGCAGAGGCCACAGTGAATGGAGGCGCGTTGCGTGTGTACCGCAAACGAGCCAGCAGCCTTTGTTCACAAGCCAAGCCGCTTCGAGGGAGGAATAAAAAATAAAACCGGCATAATAATTGGGTGGAAGTGAAAGGCACAGCACAAAAAAGTATAGTATACATACCGAGGGAGCCATGATTGGGCGAGAAGATTCCATGGAAACGGGCATAGTGGTGGAGTTGAAGTTTGCTGGAGGGCTGATGCCTTTTTATCAAGCTTTGCGAGGTCGACCCGCCGGGAGTGGAAAGCTTGGGAGGAGAGAAGAAAAAGAGGGCGAGAGAGCGCAAAGAGGGAGCGAGTAAGTGGGAAGTGTGATTGGCAAGGGGTGGGAAACAAGGCGAGAAAATGCTATGCTATGCTATGCTCTGCTATGATGGATGCTAGTTAATATGGCTATGGCTTGGCGGGTTTTGTCGCAAGTCTGGTGTCAGGTTTGACCGGGTTTGGTTTGGAACGGGGCCGATCAGGAGTCTGGCGATGGATTGGGAGAAACAAATAATTGGAGACGAATGGACGGCTATGGATTCTCGTGTGGTGTGTGCTGTTTTGGCGATGTCCGTCGGAGGTGGGAGATTTGATGTTCTGGGGTTCAGGGGGGCGGATTGCGGCAGATTGATGTTTGTTTGCCCGTGAATGGATTTTGATGGGCTTGAGAGGGCGAAACAAGGCAAAGAGCCGGGATTTTGATTTGACTCGATTTTCTATTTGGACATGGGCAAAAAGAGAATGGAGGAGAGGAAAGAAAAAAAAAAAAAGAGGCGCGGCGAGGGATGGGGATGGGAGATGATGAGCAAGACGATGGTGGAGCCAGGATGGAGATGGCAGTAGTACCAGGTTCGTTAGTAGCACGGAGTAGGAAAAGACCATCACTGTACGTGCCGTAGTAGGGCGGCTAGGGGGGCATGGGGGGTTGACCTGGACGGCGGGGTACACGAGGGCCAAGTACCGCGCAAACCCATGGACTGGTGATGGGTGATGCTTGCAAGTTGCTGGGCGGACGGGGGGTGGGAAGCCTGTATCACACGTGTAATAAATGGCGAGCGGCGCTTGAATGCTTGTTTGAAGCTGTGATTAGTTGAATGTCATTGCATCATGATGCTGGTTTTCTCAGAGCTAGTATATTGCTTGGGTACCTAGATGTCAACATGGACAACTTGTTGATACCTTATACTGCCTATATATCCCGGGAATTCATATACATGCAGTATCCAGCACCAAGGGCCTGTAATCACATTGATGGATGCCACTGTATAGCACATACAGCCACCTAAACCAAGGCAATACCTCCTCGTCCACGTATTTGATGCCGCTGCCCATCGAATGCAACGTCGTCTTGCAGGCAGCCTTGCAAGCAGCCATGTGCTGTAAGCCGATCCGTATCATCCATATTGATCCTCGACTTCTCTCTCCCTGGCTGGCATCATCCACTCCCACTCGCTGCTAACCAGAATCTACATACCAGCAAATTTGATCTTTCCATGCATGGCATCATCATCACCAGTCTATGCATCACATTACTCGTACTCGTACAATATAACATCCAGGCATTGAGCTCCCTTCGCTCTGGTCCATGCTTCTGCCGCTCTTCCAGGCGAAAAAAGAAACCAGGACCTAAAAAAGTGAACGTGCAGGCCCTGGTTAGCGGGTAACGTGCCCGCCATGTCCCCTAAACGAACCCCCCCCAAACCGCCTGTGGAAAATGCCATGTGCCAGCCGCATGGTCAGACCACCACTTTGATTTTCTCAACCTCCACCTTTTCTCTTCGCTGGCGTCCGGCCACGGAAGCTCTCAACTGGCTTGCTCTCCCCATGTCTTGCATCAATCAATGCATTTTACATACTGGATTCGTATCGCCATGGAGCTCAAGATGCTGATGCTGACCTTCTGCTGATAGAATAGACAGCTACAGCTACAGCTATTCGCAGCCATTGCCGCGCATCAAGAATCCGCTTCTGCGCAATCAATCAATCCCAGCACCGTCGCATGGCTGGCTGGCTGCTTCGCTCCCGTCCCCTTGCAAAACAGCAAAAGCACTGCAAACAAGCAAGCAAGCAAACCCTGGGCCACGTTTTGTCGGGCCTCACTCTTCAGCCGAAGCGCACCGCCGAGCCAATCACGCCGTCGCCGCCCAATCGCCCCGACACGGCACGAACAAACCCCTTCGCGCGCAGGGCATTTTTGCATTCCCCATTCATTCCACACCAGCGGCCAAACGGGAAACCATCCCTGCGCCATTGCACGTGGCTCGCCAGGGGAGCCCGGAAACCTTGGCTTCGCGGCCCTTGTCGACCCTTTTTTTTCGCTCTGCTCTGCTCTGCTTGCTCGTTTGCAGCCTGGAAAGATGGAAGCGCTTGGCCGTGGGTGATGACGACGATGGTGACATGTTTTCTGGCCCACACAGCCACTGCCGGACAGGTTTCTTTTTCTGTTGCGTCTCTTGCGGGCTTCTTCTTGTCGCTCTGCCGTGCGAGGAAGCTCTTGATTGAGATCGTCTCGACGCTACTGCTAGCACGCATGAAGCACACCGGCGTCATCAACTAGCCAAACTAGCCGTTTCCAAACCAACCCACCGAGAAGCTCTTAGCTCTTACGAGTCCTATTCACCATACGAGACGAGCCTTGCGACGCGGATTGCTTCTACTTCAGTTGAGCATGTATCGTGTTTGGCATGTCTTTACTTGTGCATCTGTCTTCTCCTTGTCTTTCTTCCAAGTCCTTTCGAAAGTAGCTTCTTCATGCTGCGGTCTTGGTGGATCGAATCTGCGAGACTCGAATCTTACTACACAGCTACACCGACGCCGTAGTCTGACTCCGGCCGGGCGCATCTCTCCCTGTCCCCGGTTTTCGTACCCAGTTTGCTCTCGTACCGCAGATTCCGCAACGGCCTGCACCTCATGCTATTCTGAATGCTATGTCAAGTGGCAACATTTGTGAATCCAGCAGTGGTTAATCAGTCACGGTCGTTCAGGGCACTGTCGGCTGTAAATTACGGCAACTTACTATCTGCAATGGGCTCAGCTTGGAGGCGTGAGCTCCAGTCTTGCACGCACGCAAAAAGCTGCAATATGAGATGCTCTTCATTGACATGTGAAAGTACACTGGTTATAACTGC